TATCATTATTATTATTATTATTATCCACCATTAAACACGACAAGGCTACTTGTCGGGGTTTTTTAAGTATTTATCCGAGGTTTCTACCCGATTCCTTAGGGACAAATACTCGAATTTCGGTGGTGCCACTTATTATAAGATAGCACCACATCAATTCTTGAAGGTCTTCCTGAGTCCATCTTTATTCGATGGGAACGATTTGTCTCCTGAACTGGGCTCCAGTGACTAACATCTTTGGAGTGGCCAGGATCAGAAGCAGTGAAATTCACATTCTCGTCGAGCTGCCTCAGGTCGACAGTAGAACAAGATTTGTTTTTTTTTTTTTTTGGTTCTTACTTTGTCTTGTTCTCATTTTTTTTTTGCTCTTTTAAGCCAACAGCACGTGGCGTTCTCAGACGGTCACCCATCCAAGTTTGCACCACGCCCAATGCTGCTTAACTTCGGTGATCGTACGGGAACCGGTGTGACCAGCACGGTATGGCCGTTGACTTTTATTATTATTATTATTATTATTATTATTATTATTATTATTATTATTATTATTATTATTATTATTAAAGTAATAAATCAAATTTAAAAGTCAAAAATGAGTAAAGCCGCGAAATCAAATTTGATGATTGAAATTTTTTTTTTTTTTTTAAATAACAAACACATTATCCGCGGTTTGTTGTTTGTTGTTCTTTCTTTTGGTGTTATTATATAGCGCTATAATAATAATATTGTATATTTTGCGGTTTTTATCCGAATAATGCTATAATAAATAGAAGAGTTAAACGTTATTGTTACGGTGGTTGTTTTTGTTTGTTTGTTTGTTTTGTCATTGATGAGGTGAGGTAAATGCGTGGAGGGGAAAATAGGATAAGATGCGTTGATTTTGCGGTTAACATAATGGTTTCGTTACAAAAAAAATATTAAAAAAAGTTCGTTAAATACTCGCGAAATTATTATTATTAATATCGAATTTAAATTTTTAAACCGTTACGTTTTTTCATTCATTTAAAATTATGTTTATTGTTGTCGGTTCTATCATAAATGAAATAAACATTAAAAAAATTGTCGCGGTTGTGACATAAGTCGACGATTTCATAGAGTAAAAAAAAATAGTCCGTAGTCGATGATGGCGGGTAAACTCGTGAACGACGTCACATGTCTTGTTTATTTAACCGCGTTTCGAAGCAAACGTTTTTCATTTATTTATTTTGTATTTTTTCATAAGTTATTATTATTATTATTATTATTTACAAAGTATAAAATTTAAACAAGTTTTAATTAAATTAAAAGATTTCAAATCGATTATTTATTTTTGAGAGAGAGAGCGTGGGTTTATGTTATTTTACGCACAAAATACATAACCTCAAAGTCGCGCATGGTTAATACATATATTGCTATGATCTTCGATTTATTTTTCTTTTCTCGATACTAAAAATCAATAAATCTAATTTACGATTCGATTATCGATCGATTATTCATAACACAAGTCGCGAATAAGAAGAATTATTAAGATTTTGTATTGATGGCAAGCAAGATGTCCTCCACGTGGGTATGTGTTAATCACTTTGTTAGTCAATCATTTTCATTCCAATCATTTTGGTTTTCATTGATATTGTTATAATCTCATATTCAATGTTTGTTAACAATAACAATGTTACCATGGAAACCAAATTTCTGTTCTATTGCTAAACGAAGCTTCTAGAAACTTCTTTCTTTTGTTTTTGTTAACTCATATCGTTTGTCTTTTTTAATTTTGATTGTTGTTTCGTTCCAAACAAAATACTAACAATAAAACGAACTTGTAAAAGGTGGTTTGACATCTTAGCAAGCGTTCTTTTGATCTTGTTTGTCTCCAATTCAATTCTTCTTCTTTAATTTTAGTTTTAGTGTAAGTGATAGAGTTGTTAAGTGTTTTGTGAAGAAGTTAAAATAACCTTACTTGTGAAAAGTGTATGCTAAGCGTTAAACATGATGCAAGAAACAAATTATAAGCATAAAGAACGAATGGTAACATAACAATATGGTGTTTCAGGTACTCCTTGAAGTTTAAAATGAAATCTTTCCAATGTTCCATTGGTCTGAGGATGATACCTTAGCAGGACAGAATTCTTAGAATTCCGAATAATGTTACGAATTTTGGAAGCGATTGTCCTAGCTTCGTGATTCGGAAACGATTCTGCGTAGGAATACTTTGTCAAGTCGTCCTGCATGGTCAAAATAAATTTATTTCCGTCACAGGTGAAAGGTAGCGGTCCCATTATGTCTATGGCCAGTCTTTCAAATGCCTCCTGTGATGTGTTGGTAACTTCCAAAGGTGCCTTTAAGGGTTGGTAATTTTACACGTATTTTTCAATATCCTTTTTCATTTTTTCCAATAATAACGTTCCTTAATTCTTTTATAGGTTTTTTGGAAAATCCAAAATGTCCAACCGATTTGGAATCGTCATTTCCTATCAAAATTCTCTCGATTCCCTCCTTGGTCTTGGGACAGATTCTTTCAAATTTATCAGATGGTGATATATTTATTAGGGCATCATCATTCGAAGCGTCATCAAGATCAGCATTCGAATCGAGACTTCCTTTCTTGTATACAATTTTATAATCATATTCCTCTGATTTGATTCTCCAAAGTGCCAGCCTACTATTAGGATCCTTACAATTGAATAACCATGTTAAAGGTTTATGATCGGTTACTATTGTGAATCTTCTTCCGAAAAGATGGTGTCGGAAATGTTTCACACTCCACACAATGGCAAGGAGTTCCTTTTCGATTACGCTATATTTGAGTTCTGATTCGTTTATAGTTCTAGAGGCATAAGCAACTGGTAAATCCTTTCCTATTTCACCCTGGCTAAGTACTGCTCCTATAGCGAAGTTTGAGGCATCTGTAGCTAAGATGAATTCGCGGGTAAAATCTCGATATTGTTATGTTCGGTTCGTTTCTTTATATTATAAGTCGCAAATTAATATTAAAATTAATTTACGGCTTATTTCTTGTGACGTGTTGTTAAATGCTTAGCATACACTTTTTCACAAAATAAAAGTAGTAAAGGTTATTTTAACTCGCGAACAAACACTTGGAAATTATCACTACAACAAAATTAATATTAGAATTAACGGATAAGAACTTAATATAGCAAAACTAAGAATCAAAAGAACGCGTGCAAACATGTGAAGTTTCCCTTTATAACTTCGGTCTTTAGCTAGTCAATTGTTTCGAATGTTCAACAATGCAAACGAGCAAACACTTGCAAAAGAAAGAGTTTCTAGAAGCTTCGCTTCTTTTTAATAAACCTTCGATAGTATCCAACTAAACCTAAGAACCTTTTTATGTCTTTCGTATTTTTCGGGGTCGAAAATGAATTTATGCCTTGTATTTTGTCTGGATTGGGCCTGACACCAGGGTGCTGATCATGAATGACCATTATATTCAATTTTTCTCCTTTAATTTAGATCTTATAAGTTCAGTAAGATCTATTACCTTCGCATCTTTGATATCTCTATGAAAATGCGAAAATTCTCCTAGTGTTTCTTTTATGCATGAATGAATGCATCGTCTCTCTTTGGTTCTTCAAGTTTCGAAGTGTATTTCAAGGTGATGTTATGGTATATAGCTGATATAGCCTTGTTCCTCGTTAGCTTCTTGAGATGTATTGGGTCTGTGTCGTGTGACGTTTTTGTTTCTTCTTACTAGAATGAGGAGAGTATACAAAATTTGCCTCCCAACCAAGTTTTTCTTTCACCGCCTTCTGGATCAATTTCTAAGTCAGACGTGCCATCTTTCCCCTTTACCTTGTCCGATGGTCCGATGTCTTTGTGAAATGATTCATGAGGTCCGAAGGCAAATGCATCATCTTCATTGATCCCAATCGCATCTGCAATAAGAGCATCCTTTCCGGCTATATCATCATCTATAACGTGAAGGATTCGTTGCGATTCCTGTTGTTCAGAATTTCCTACCGACTGCGCCAATATATATGTTGTTATGATGTTCGATTTTTCTTTTATCGAATCAACAAATCGATAAACCTTTGAATCTCCGATTCGATTATACATAACACAAAGTTTTTCTTCTTCCCCTCTTCTCTTCTTCGCTTTCTATGATGGCTACTATATCGTATCTGTGGCACACTCGTAGCGAAGAAGAAGAAGAATTATTACGATTCTGCCTTATAGCAAGCAAGATGTTCATATTGTTATGTTCGGTTCGTTTCTTTATATTATAAGTCGCGAACAAACAGTTATAAACTATCACTACAACAAAATTAATATTAGAATTAACGGATAAGAACTTAATATAACAAAACGAAGAATCAAAAGAATGCTGTGAAGCTTCCTTTTATAACCTCGGTTTTTCGTTAGTCAAGAGTTTTTTCTAAAAGCTTCGCTTCTAGAAAGTACAATTTGCAACGTAAATATTGAAAAAATTTAAACATTAAGTACACGGGATCATAACAATATGTTCTTCATTGAGGTGATGAATGAATTATAGGAAAAGATGACGGATGGACAAACGTCACCGGAAGAACACTCACGACAAGATGAAAAGAACCGGATATCCTTAGGGATTTCACCACCTTTTATGTATGTCTCACTCATTGTTTATACATTCACCGCAATAAAATGTGATACGAAATTAATAATATTTTAAATTTATTTAATTCCGCCATTTTTTTTTTTTTTTTTTAATTATCTTATCGTGATGGTTTCGGTTAACGATCGTAAGTCACAAATGAAAACGCGACTAATTTTTAATTTTAATTAATGAAACGTTTAATATTACACACGCGCGCACACACACACACGCACACGTTACTTGCACGTGTTGATAAAAATTTTCCTTGGTTTTATTATTATTAAGTCAATTAACGTATGTACGACGTGACGTGTTGTTATTACATCATTGCAAAAATATTATTATTATTATTATTATTATTATAAATGTAATTTATTTAATATAAAAAAAGACAGAGAGAGAGAGAGATTACAAAAAAAAAAAAAAAAATTGGAAAAGTTGGAAGCGAAAATACTGTCGTATTAATTTTTCAAGATTTTAAATAAAAAGTTTTTAATTCTTTTTTTTTTTAAAAAAAAAAAGTGGACGGAGGAGGGGGTAGGGGTGAGGAGGGAGGGAGGGAGGGGGAGAGAAAAAAATTTTCAAGTTTTCTAAAAATAGAGAGGAAAAAGAAAAACCTCAACTTTTTTGTCTTAAGTTAGGTGGTGTAACTTTAAAATAAAATGACACTCTCTAATTAACGCTTTAAAAACTAGTTTGTTTAAAAAAAAAGTAGTTTGTTTGTTTGTTTGTTTGTTTGTTTGTTTTAAATACAAATTTTTTTTTTTTTTACGGTTTGTCCTACAATAGTTTCTCATTTTAATTAATTTTTAAAAATGAAAAAACGAACGAATATGAATTTGTTTATAAACAAAAAAAAAATTTTTTTTCAATTTTTAATTGAATTATTATCATCATCATCATCGTTTGTTTTTTGTTTTACGAGAATCGATATTTTTTTAAATAAAATAAATTATTAACAAACAAACAAACAACTACTGTAAAAAATAATAATAATAAAATCGAATCCATTTTGTTGTTTTTTATTTAATTAAATAATTTGCAAAAAAAATAAAAAAATTTTTTTAATAACTTTTAATTTTTTTTTTAAACAAAAGAATAGGAAAACTAACAAACAAAAGGGAAAAACAAACGACGGAAAATTCAAAATGGCGGATGACTTTAAAAAAAAAAAATTAATTTTAATAATAATAATAAAAAAATGTTTTTTTTTTTTTTTCGGGGTTTTTGTATTTGAGGGAGGAGTTCTCGTTAAGAAAATTAAAGGGGAGGAGGAGGGGAGGGGAGCAGGAAAAAAGAGTAATAAAATAATGTGTGTGTGTGCGTGGGGAAGACGTAATAAATAAATAATAATAATAATAAAACATGTGGTGGTAAAAGTTATTAATAAAAAAAAAAAACCGTTAAAACTTTCACACGAACGTACGTATAAACGTTTTTCTTGTCAAAAATTGTTTATTATTTTAAAATTAATTTGTTGCTTGTCGGTTGTTGGTTGTTGGTTGTTGTTGTTGTTGTTACTTTTACATAGCGTAATTATTTTACATAAAAAACTTTTTTACAAATTTTTTTTTTCTTCTCACCACCACTCGAACGAACGAAAACAAAAACCCAACCGATCGATATTAATAATGATGATGATGATGATGATGATGTTGATGATAAATTCGTGAATTTATTTACCGCGGAAGGGGATGGAATGGGGGTGGGGTAGGGAGGGAAGGGGGAAGATGAGTGGGAGCTGGAAAAATTCCTTTTTTTTTATTATTTTTTTTTTGTGCGTATGTGTGTGTGTGTGTGTGTGAATTCGGTGGTTTATCGATTTAAAAATAATTTTCAGTCGTTTGTTTGACGTCGTCTATTGTTTGTCTTTGTGTTTGTTGTTGTCGTTTAAGCCATTTAAAATTGAATAAATAAAATAACGTTAAATCTCATTTAATTAAAATTCCAAACGATTATTTTTACAGTGTGGCCATATCGCACAAAAAACACGTAAAAAAAAAAAAATGAAAAAAACCGTCCGGAAAATTATTTACCGGGAAAAATTAATTATTATTATTATCATTTTGAAAAATTGTTTTTTATTTATAAATAAAATTATTATTATTATTATTACGGGGTAATAATTAATTATTATTCGAATTTTTTTTATTAATGATAAAAAAAATGAAAACGTGGTTTATAAAATTTTATTATTATTATTATTATTATTTCCGGTCTTTTTAAATATTACGTAATAATAATAATAATAATAATAATAATAATAATGATAATAATGATAACAATTTTATTAATTAGTTATTAGTAAATAAAATAATGTATTAATTAAATGAGAAAATTATTTTAATAAAATAATTTCGACAAAAAAAAATTATTTCGGCGTTTATTTTTACGCCTACAAATATTATCATTATTATTATTATTATTATTACGGGTGATGATGATGATGATGATGATAATAATAAAAACATTTTAATTAATTTTAATGAGAAAAATAATAATAAAACTTACGGTTGTTGTTGTTGTTGTTGTTGTTGTTATTATAATTAAATCGATACGAAAAATTTTTATCGTTTATAATAATATACATTTCACGTAGATTAATTTTATATGCGTGATTGAGTGCGTGCGTGCGTGCGTACGTGCGTATAAAATATGCGTGATTTTTTATTTATTTATTTAAAAAAAATTTTATATATATATTATTTCGCAAAATGAAATTTAAAAAGAAACGACGTTTCATCACGAACGATCCGCTAAAACTCTCGCCCTGCATGAAATTTTTCTTCCCTTTCTCCTCTTCCCGGTATTCCCGATATTGTCTCAGCTCCGAAGCTTCCTGCAAAAAGGAAGTCAATACGAATTTGAAAAAAGAGGTGAGAACGAAAAAGAGAGAAAAAAAAAGGTTTTTTTGTTTTGAATCCATTGTATTTAATTTCTTATTAAATTAAATCATTTCGAATTTTAATTTTTTATTTTCATTTAAAAAAATTACAAATTGATTAATGCTTCTTATCATAGAGTAATTAAACTCGTAAGGATACGTTTTGATTAAATTAATTTCGTTTTTATTCGGTGATGTTACGTAAGGTTCGTAAAATAACCTTTTTTCGGAATTAGAGATGAGAAAAAATGCAATATTTAATCGTAATTATTGATTTTTTTTTAAAAATATTTTTAATCACCGGAAAATGTGACGTTGATGTATGGCAGTGGATTATTTTTAATTATCATTTAATTTTTGAAATGTTTTTTCGTCGTTGACATTCAAAGTAAAATAATTCCATCGTTTATTAATACCAACTCTAATTTATTTATTTATTTATATATATTAAAATAATTAAATCATTTATTTTTATTTGTGATAATATTATTTTGTTTATCATAGGGTATTAATAACTATCAAAATCCGTTAAATGTAAATGAATAACTATTCTATTTACACGACAGTTTTTTAAGTTGGCAATACTGTTAAATTTGGAACTTGACAGGTAGTAGTTTATTTTGAGCCACGCGTCTGTTAGGATTATTTATTATTTATTAATTTCTAGTATTAAAAAGTTGATTAATTAAAATTTTAAGGCTCGATAAGGTTCGAAAATGTCTTTTTTTTCCTTTCTATTATGTTTGTTTGCATGATTTATTGTCACATTTTATTTTTCTTTTAATCATTTTACTATCGGTTTTTGGTCATTTTTTTTTCATTTGAATTTATTTTACTCTTGAGTATTTCTTTCTTATTATGGATAAAAAATATATATAATTGACTTTTTCATTTTCGATACGTTTTTATTTGTTTAACTTTACGCAAATACATATAATAATTATTGTAGTTTATTGTTTAATTTTTTTAAAAAAATTTATTTAGGTAATTTTTTTTTTTTTTTTTTGAATTGAAAAGAAGAAGTTAATCATTTAATGTCTTTAGTTATATAATCAACTACTTTTCTACAGAATACAGTATCTGTTTCATAAATTTTTAAAATTATTTTTTGTCTAAAGGCTTAAATTACAAATTGATAATAATAATATTAGACATTTATCGAGAGATGTGAATTTCATTTTTAATTTTAATCATTATTATGTTTTTTTTTTTTTTTTTTTTATGCCTTTAGTTTGAAGAAAGTCTTTAAAATATTTTGAATTTTTTTTTTTTTTTTATTAAATTCATTTTATGCATTATTCAGTTCATTTAATATAATCATTTTATCACATTGATGTTAATATCGAGTGTACAGATCAATCATTTTCAATCAAAATTTTCATTGCGAATATGTCAAATCACATCATGATTGCTTTTTAAATAATTAATATTCATTTTAATTCAACATGTATGCTAAAAAACATGTTTGAATAATTTGAAAAATTGTAATTTATAGCCTATATATAAATTCACTGCTCCTTGTAAATTGTTACAGATATTTTTTCTGTGAAAAGTAAAAGACTTAAAATGGAAGCACTCGAAGCGGAAGCTAAAGAAAAAGGAACAAAATATGTTATGGGTATATTACAAAGACCTGGTCAACTTGAAAAATTAGATCAGTATAAGTTACGAGTCATTCGTAAGAAAGCATCAGTTGAAACACAATTGAAAACGGCAATGCAAAGTCAACTCGATGGAGTTAGAGAAGGTTTAAAACTTCTTGAAGTCGCTCAAAATGATGTCAAAGAAATCAAATCGAATATGATTTGGGTGAAAAAATCAATACAAAACATTCCGGACTTGCTTAAAAAATTACAAGCTGTGAAGGAAGAAAACATGCGTCATTCTCAGTATGAAACAGCCAAACATAACCTCAAACACATATTCAACGTACCTGATATTGTGAAGAAAACAAAAAATTGGATTATAGAAGGAAAATTACTGTTTGCTAAACAAAGTCTGGCAGAATTGGAAAATTCAAGGGATGATCTTTTATTCGAGCTTCATAAACTTCCGCATACATCTCAGGCTGATCGAATAATGTTGGAAATGTATTTTGAAGAAATCGGACAACTCTCGGACATGATTAAAAAACAAGTTTGCCTCATTTTAAGTAGAACTTTGAATACAGTAAGAAAAGACCCGACCATAATAGTCACGGCTTTGAGAATAATCGAAGCAGAAGAAAAAGCGGATGCCTTTCACGAAATGAGAAGAAAGCAAACAAATTTTTGCTCTGCGGGTAGACCGAAAAAGTGGAAAGCCATGGCATTATCCGTTTTGGAAGAAGCCGTTTCCCAAAGAATCGAGGGCACGCAAACAGACGAACGTGAAAATCATAAAATGTGGTTGGTTCGTCATTTGGAATTGACAAGACTGTTGATATTGGAAGATTTAAGAGTGGTCAAAACTCTTTGCATACTATGCTTTCCTCGTTCTTGGAACATTGTCGACACCTACGTAAGAATGTATCACAGGTGTCTGTCGAATCATTTTAAAGAAATCATTCAGAAGGGTTTGATAGGAAACGAAAACGTTTCACTTTTGTCGTGGTGTCTCAACACTTATCCAGGTCCCGAATTAATGTCTCATCCTGAATTGAAAATCGATATCAATCAGTACGAGCCACTCTTACCCGAGAGCCTGATTGACGATCTTCAGCAACGTTATTTATCCGACGTCGAAGCTAATTACGTGGAATGGATGAAGAAAACATTGGAAAAAGAAGAAGAAGATTGGATGAAAGCGATGCCGCTCGAGGATGCCGGATACTACCAATCCTCAGCTCCGGATATCGTTTTCCAAATAGTCAATCAAAATTTGGAAGTTGCCAGAACGATAAATCAAAAACTAATCGATAAAGTTTTGCTGTTGAGCATGGAGCAAACGATCAATTTTGCGAAGCTTTACGGCGAAGCCATATTGCAATTGAAAAATAAACATTTCGTCGACAGGAGTCAAAATCCTTACTACACGCAACACATGATAAGCATCGTGAATAATTGCATGCAATTTCGAGAATTTGCCGGACGATGGAAGTCGGACATTCGAACGAAGGAAACGGTTAAAGTTTACGAGAAATTAATGCAGTCCTACCTGGAAGTGAGAAACGAATCCGTCAAATATTTACTCACGGAAGCTTTCAGAGACCTTTATTTACATTTCAACGATTTGTTCACGCCGAAATGGTTGACTTCATCGGCTCCCGTCGACACGATTTGCCTCACGTTCGAAGATTATTTTCAAGACTACGTTCACTTGACGACGGAAAATTTCGAATACGTCATATCGTTCGCTCAAACGCACGTCGCGAAATGTTTCATATACAAAATAATGCAGGGAAAAATAAGTTTTGGAAATTACGAAGAGCGGAAAGAAGCGACGAACAAAATCAAAACGGAAATACTTCAGATAAAAAGTTTCTTTCACAGGATCGCGCCGAACGTGAAAATCGATCAGAATTTCGATTTGATCGATCCGCTCGTTGAAATAATTCGAGTTCAAGATCCGGAAATGTTATTGTTGGACTTGCACGAACTCGTGGCGAGATTTTCCGACATAACGGAAACTCAACTCGAATGTTTGCTCATGATACGGGGAGATTTGAAAAGATCCGAAGTGAGAGATAAAGTTTCCTACATATTGAGTTCGAGAACGAATCAACCCAAAGACACGCTAATAAAAAAAAGCATTTTTTCATTTATCGGACGAGGAAATGTTAGCATGGATTGGGATGCATACTGGTCGGAATATTTAAACTGACGGGGAAAAAAATACGTATAAAAAAAAGAAAAATTAATTATTATTATTATTATTACGATGATGATAATATTTTAATAGGCTGTGATGAAATGAACGAACGTACCGCCACCGCCGCCATTTAATAAAATCAAGCTTTTCGCTATCATAATCGAATTAATAGGATAGGATAGAAAAAAAATAAGTCGAATGAATAATAATTATGTAACATTTAATGTCAATTATTAATCGATGTCGGTGTTATTTATTTATTTATTATGATGATAAATAATGTATTTATAACTTTAGATTAATAATAAAATATATTTTTTTATTAAAAATAAGCCTAAATAAGTTTTTAATATCGTATGAAATCGTAATAAATGAAAATAAAAAATTAATAAATTTTTATTAAATTTTTTTTCAATAATAGATTATGTAATTTATTTATAATAAATCGGACCGTTTGTTACGTACAATATTATTATTATTATTATTATTATTATTATTTTGTTAAATTAAACGTAAGTATGTGAATTAATTAATTATTTATTTATTATTAATGTGTTGTTGCTGCTGTTGCTATTATTAGTTTGAATACTTTTTTAAAATTTTCTGTTGTTTTTCTTTGTTAACCCAAAAAAATTAAATATATTAATAATAATGATAATAGAATTAATATTAATAATAATAATAATATTAAGTTTTCTATTGACAAAAAAAAATTTAACCGAAGGAGTAGATAAGTAGTGTAACCTTGACACGAGTCAATGCGTTTTTCTATAATAGTTTGTTCGTTTAGTAGTTGTGGTGAAGTTATTAATAATTTTTTGATTAATTAATTTATTAATTAATTAATTTTGTTTGTTTGTTTGTTTGTTTGTAGTAAATAATGGTTTACAAAGGATTATTAAATATAAATATTCGTACTTTGTCACCGTTGCCGGGTTTGGGAAGAGTTCAAGCGTATAGAATATTGGAAAGGAAAAATTATTTATTTTTTAATCACGAATCACCGGGTAATAATAAGTATAGGAAATTTTCCAGGGGAGTTTTTCGTTGTCAAAAGAATGCAGAGAAAGTCGAGGAAAAGTCGAGAAATGGTATCCCGTATGAAAATTTAATCGTTGGAGTACCCAAAGAAATTTGGAAAAATGAAAAAAGGTACATATTGTTATAATTTAACGAAAAAGGTTTTTTTTTTATTTTTTATAATGATTAATTTTTGTTTATTGTTGTTAATAACAGAGTTGCTATAACTCCTTCAGCCGTTTCCGTACTTGTAAAAAAAGGACTCAAAGTACAAGTCGAAGAAAATGCAGGTTTAGAAGCACAATTTAGAAATGAAGAATATGAAAAAGCTGGTGCGGTGGTCACCGGAAAAGATGGCGTTTTTAAATCCGGTAAAAAAAAAAAGAAGACTTGAAATGTGAAAACAAGATGAAATTATATTTTTAAAATAATAAATTTTTTTTTCTAACCGACAGATGTGATTTTAAAACTGAGACAACCCTTGGATTCGGAAGTGGATAGTTTAAAAAATGGAACAACCCTTATATCATTTTTATATCCGTCACAAAATAAAGATCTTTTGGATAAATTATCCGCGAAAGAATTAAACGTTTTCGGTGAGATGAAATTTTAATAAAATATTATATCGACGGTAAAAAAAAAAAAATGATGATTGACGAACGATAAAAATTTTCAGGTATGGATTGCATACCTAGAATATCAAGAGCACAAGTTTTCGACGCATTAAGTTCAATGGCGAACGTTGCGGGTTACAGAGCCGTAGTTGAAGCTTCTCATCATTTCGGACGTTTTTTCTCTGGTAAAACTAATTAAATTTAATTATTACACCGGAAATATGAAATAAAGGCACGAAGAATTCCAAAACAAGCGATGATTTTTTTCCAGGACAAATAACAGCCGCGGGAAAAGTACCGCCGGCAAAAGTACTCGTGATAGGTGGCGGAGTCGCGGGTTTGGCTGCGATAGGACAAGCTAAAAATATGGGAGCCATTGTAAGAGCTTTCGATACGAGATCGGTCGTGAAAGAACAAGTTGAAAGTTTAGGAGCCGAGTTTTTAGAAATCAATATTAAGGTTTGAGTTTTGATTGGTTTTCCGTCGGAAAATGAGTTTGGCGGGTAAAACAAAAAAGTTTTGATTTTATAGGAAGAAGGTGGGACAGCTGGAGGATACAGTAAAGAAATGTCGAAAGAATTCATAGATGCTGAAATGGCTTTGTTTGCTAAACAAGCGAAAGAAGTTGATGTCATCATCACGACGGCTTTGATACCTGGAAAAAAAGCACCCAAACTTATTTTAAAAGTAAATTTTGTCTCTTATTTCCCCTCCCCCCTCCGCCCCACAATTTTAAGGAATCGAAGAAAAAAAAAAATTCAATTTTTTCGTTTCAGGAACACATCGAATCAATGAAACCTGGAAGTGTTGTCGTGGATTTAGCCGCAGAAGCGGGAGGAAATATCGAAACAACAAAACCTGGTGAAGTTTATAATCATAATGGCGTCATACACGTGGGTCTCACAGATTTGCCAAGTCGTCTTCCGACTCAAAGTTCTACTTTATACGCCAATAATATATCTAAATTTTTCTTATCCATGGGTAAAATAATTTTTTTTAAAATTTAATTTCAATTTAATTTAGTTTTACATGACTTAAATTTTGTTTTTTTAGGTGAAAAAAATTGTTTTGATATAAATTTGAATGATGAAGTTATCAGGGGTAGTATCGTCCTTCATAAGGGAAAATTAATGTGGCCGCCACCGGCACCCCCGGCGGCTGCTCCTGTTGCGACACCTCCTAAAGTTGCAGAAGAAAAAAAAGAGTCACTTCCGGTTCCGAATTATTTTTTTAACACACTGAAAGAAGCATCGTTTTTAACAGGAGGTAAACAAGCAAAGTTTTAACGTTTTCCCAATTAAGTATCAGGTTACTATAAACTAAAAAAAAAAAAATTGTTTTTTTTTATTAAAGGCTTAGGAAGTCTTTTGGCTCTTGGAGCGGCTTCTCCCAATCCCGCATTCACGACAATGATGACGACTTTCGGTTTGAGTACGATAGCAGGGTATTATACCGTGTGGGGTGTGACACCGGCTTTACATTCACCTCTCATGTCGGTAACGAATGCCATATCGGGTATCACGGCCGTCGGCGGTTTATTATTAATGAGAGGAAATACTTATTATCCCTCAAACACCGTCGAAGTGAGTTTTTTTATTTAAATTGCGAACACTTTTTCTAAAAAAAAAAAAAAAAAAAAATAATATTAAAGAAATGAATTTTAATATTATTATTGTGCTGTAGGCTTTGGCTGCAGTTGCAGCATTTGTTTCTTTCATCAACGTCTTTGGAGGTTTTGTTGTTACAAAAAGAATGTTGGACATGTTTCGTAGGTAAAGTATAGAATTATCTTATCACTATGCATAATTTTGCGGCAAATAAGTGAAAAACTGTTGCTGTTGTTGTTGTAGGCCGGGTGATCCTCCAGAATATAATTATTTGTACGGTTTACCGGCAGCAGCATTTTTAGGCGGTTACGGGTATTTAGCATTGAATAATTTTAACGAAATACATCAAATGGCTTATTTAGCATCATCCCTGTGTTGCGTCGGAGCTTTAGCCGGACTAAGTTCTCAAGCGACTTCAAGATTAGGAAACAATTTAGGAATGGTAAGTCGGAAAATCGTATATAAAAAAAAAGGGAGAGGGAGGAATTCGGATACAACTTTTTTTTTTTTATTATAGATCGGAGTTGCTTCGGGTTTAGCAACGACAATCGGTGCCATGGCTCCAAGTCAAGAAATTTTAGCACAAATGGTAGCATGCGCTGGAATCGGAGGTGCCATAGGTACAACTATTGCGAAAAAAATTCAAATCACGGATTTGCCTCAATTAGTCGCGGGTTTTCACAGGTGGAAAATTTTTTACTAAAATTTTCATTATCATTATTATTATTTATTCAATGGGAATTATTAGTTAAAAGATTAATTTTTTTGTTATTTTAAGTTTGGTCGGATTAGCAGCCGTATTAACGTGTTTTGCGACGTACATTCACGATTATCCTCATTTTGCAACGGATCCAGCTGCTAACGTCATAAAAACTTCTTTATTTTTGGGAACGTATATCGGTGGCGTCACTTTTAGGTCAGATTTTTTTAATTCGAAGATATCTTTCTCTTTTTTTTTTCTCTCTCTCTCTCTCTCTCTTTTTAAATCGTGTCGTCATTTTTTTTTTCAGCGGGTCGTTAGTAGCCTATGGAAAACTTCAAGGACTTTTAAGTTCGAGTCCTCTCTTATTGCCAGGACGTCACGTTTTAAATGCCGGCTTATTGGCTGCAAACGTCGGAGCCATGGCTTGGTTTTTTACAGATCCGTCCATGACTACGGGATTAACGGCTTTGGGAATCACTGCTGGATTATCGTCGACAATGGGTTCGTTGTTGTTTTTTTTTCATTACACTTAATCCCATCGATTAACGCTGCTTAATCAAAAATTCTTTTTGGTAGGAGTTACACTGACCGCAGCCATCGGTGGAGCCGACATGCCGGTTGTTATAACGGTTTTAAATAGTTATTCAGGATGGGCTCTTTGTGCCGAAGGATTTATGCTCAATAATAATTTAATTACAATCGTGGGATCATTAATCGGATCATCTGGAGCTATTTTATCCTACATTATGTGTAAGGCAAGTAAAAAGGAAGTGAGATAGAAAAAAAGAAAAAAAATTAGTTTAATTACTGACAAGTGTTTTCCTTTTTTCTCCAGGCCATGAATAGATCATTGTTCAATGTCATTTTGGGAGGATTTGGTACATCTTCGACGAAAGGTGGCAAACCGATGGAAGTAACGGGAACTCATACGGAAGTAAACGTCGACAACGTTGTTGAAATGATCGGTAACGCTAAAAATATCATCATCACTCCGGGATATGGTTTGTGCGTTGCAAAAGCTCAATATCCGCTAGCTGAAATGGTTGCCATGTTAAAAAAATTGGGTAAAAAAGTTAGATTTGCCATTCATCCAGTCGCAGGTTTGTTTAATTTTTTCTCTTTTTAAATTTTTGTCGCGGTTAAAATATTTACAAGACTGTTACAAAACCAACAGGAAGAATGCCAGGACAGTTGAACGTTTTACTAGCGGAAGCCGGAGTTCCTTACGACGACGTATTAGAAATGGACGAAATAAACGAAGATTTTCCCGATACCGATTTAGTACTCGTCATAGGTGCCAACGACACGGTCAACAGCGCTGCAGAAGATGATCCCAATTCGATAATTGCCGGAATGCCCGTATTGAGAGTTTGGAAAGCGTCTCAAGTAAATTTCTTTTTTTTTTTTTTTTTCCATGGGAATTATTAATAAGTTTAAATTCCGATGGGTTAAAATAATGAAACGAATATTACAGGTCGTAGTAATGAAAAGATCGTTGGGAGTCGGTTATGCTGCCGTTGATAATCCCGTTTTTTACAAACCGAACACGGCCATGTTACTCGGAGATGCTAAAAAAACATGCGATGCACTTCTCAGCAAATGTAAAACTTCCCTGCAATGAAATTGAATCAATTTAATAATAATAATAATAATATTAATGAAGTACAACAACATTCAGGTATTTTTTATTTTTTTTTAAATATATTTTTTACAATTTGTAGATGTTAATAATTGAACTCATTAATTGTACTGCCAAATTTGTTAAACATATCTGTAATAATTTGTTATTTATTTTTTATATAACTTTTTTTTTTATACAACATAATGAAATTTTCTCTTACTCAAAGTAAATTTTTAATGATATTTTCTTATCAAGTGTGCCACAATTGATTATTTTAAGAAATAAGTAATTTTTTGTAATTTTTTTTATTATTATAAAATCAATGAAATTAATAAATATACATATATATATTTTTTAATAATTATGTTGTGAGTTTTTTATTTGTTTTAAAAATATAATAAACAATTGAATCGTTTTAAGGATTATTACGGTTCGAATAATTAACTTTAATTTTTAGAATATTGTTCGCTCACGGTCAAATTTAAAATTAATAAAAAAAAAAACAATTGAAGTTCTGAGGATGATCCTCATATTAATTTTACGCTCTAATAAATCGTTTGTTTAAAAACAAAACAAAACAAAAAAAAAAGGCGCAATACGAGTTTGATTATTGGCACGTTTTTTTATCTAGCTCCACGTTATATATTTGCAACTTGTCATTTAGTATCGGTTTAACCGAATCAAATGCTGGAACAAGTCCAACGTAGTCATGGGAAACGTAAATTTATTACGTTATTAACGCGGGATTGGTGAATTGGGGGGGGAGGCTTTCGTATTATTTGTAATATAGAGGAGCGGGGCTAAAATGCTATTTCTGTTTTACGTGAACCGGTGATTTATTTTTAGAATATGGTTGATCTCATTTTAACTTCAGTGAAGAGGATATCTTCATCGATATGGAGCAATATGGCCGACTTAACGGAGAAAATCGACGATCTGATCTGTAGTTTCGAAAGTGGAGGTGACTTTACAATGGATACGGTGGCAATGTTGATTTTTGGATGGGCGGTATTGGGTGTTGTGGTGTTAGCTTTAACCAAATACGTGTACGGTCGGTTTTTTGCAAAAAAAGCTCCAGTGTCGAATGAACCCATATTATCGAAAAAAGTTGCTTCCGGTACAGAATCGTCAGGAGTGTCGTCTACTACTACTACTACCAGTGCCACACACAAAGAACAATCTAAGGAAATGAGCAAAGATAAATCCGATGGTCTTTCATTATATTCTAAAACAAGTTCTGCCAAAACAGGAGGAAAATTCGTTCCTCCCACACCTCCACTTAGGAAAAGACTGTCAACTAAAAAAGGTTCGGCATTAATTCCAGCAGTATCTAGAACACCGACTCAAATCCCTTCACTCTCAATCACAGGACCTGATTTTGAATGTGTACAGTGGGTGAATGAGCTTTACATGTGGATTTACTCAAATTCAGATATTGCCAATGAAATACTTAATGTTTGGTTGCAAACTCTTAACGATTACATGAAAAACTCAACTGATGAGGTAAGAAAACAAACAAACAATTATTATTATTATTAATATCTCTAACAAACTATATAACAAGTGTGTGTGTGTGTGTCTATTAATATACACAAATAACTTTTTCCAGTAATGAGTCATAAATTTATTATTAAATCAATGATAATAAAAAAAAAAAGAATTTGAGTAACAAAATTATTTTCGCATCAGTTTAAATTGTAATTTTTCTTATCAGTTCATTGATGATTCTCACGATTAAGATATTATTTTTAATTATCCCAGAATAGACAATTTATTAAAAAGTTTTTAAAATTATTATTATTATTATTATTATTTAATCGATAAATAATGTGTATTACATAATTGATCAGATAATAATTTTTTTAATTACTTTGTTATCGATAAAATCATTTACTCCTTGTTAAAAACAAACAATGAAACGATTTAAGGTTTTTTTTTTCTTTTTTTAATCATTTACTATTCGTACCTGAAAATCTTTTAAATAACTTTCTGTTAGCATTCTCTCTCTCTCTCTCTCTCTCTCTCTCTCACACACTGGAGAAAAGTATAATTCATAATCAAACATTTTTTCATTTGTTTCATGCATTCGATTCATTGATTTTTTTTTGAACAAAAATGATTATCGATTTCATTTCATTTTGATTTAATTCAATAAATATTCTTTCATAATAATAATAATAATTAATTAGTCTTTCAGTAAACATAATACCGCTATATTGAATTATTATTATTATTATTATTATTATTATTTCAATTTCTTTTTTTCAATTCAATTTAAAAAAACAAAAGTTTCATTCAAAATATATATATTTCACAATTGATTATAATTCATTTTTTTTTTTTTTACTTTGAATTAAATTTACATGTCATTATTATAAAAAAGGGAGGTCAATCATCGTGCAAACAATAATAATAATAATAATAATATTAATAATAATAATAAATTTGATTTTAAATTAATATTTAATTGAAATTTTATAGGAATAATAATTTTTTTTTTTATAAATTTCTAAAAGGAAAGTAACAAACAAACAAATTTTTTTAATATTTATATATATATTTATTTTATTTATTGGGGAAAAGTTTGTTTGTTCGTTTGTTTGTTTGTTTGTTGAGTAGTGAAAAATTAGTTTTGTGTTAACAAACGACCATATATATATATATATTGTCGTGACTTCATTAAAAAAAAAAAAAAAAAAAAAAACCCACACACAGAATGTTAAACTCGTGTTTGTATGTTCTTATAAAGGCAAAACATTATTTTCAAACACAAACGAACGGACGAACGAACAAACAAACGAAAAGAATTTGGGTTAATATTAAGAAAAGGTTATTTAGGTAAAGTTTAGGAAAAAATAAATAAAAATTTTTTTAACCTTTTCAATTAGGTTTTTCCGACATTTTTGTTTTTTTTTTAGATGGTAACAAAATTTTCCCATATGAAAATTCTTTTCCAATCGACTTTTAATAAATCATGGAAAACGAGGAAAACATTATTTATTTTCCAAAAAACAACTTATTAAATTTTATTAAGTTCCGGGTTAATCAATGAAAGAAACATTTATTTATTTATTTATTTATTTATTTATTTATTTTTATTGTTTTTTTTTTTAATAGAATGGCGTGGGTGTTGAAGTTGTACGAATTCTTCCTGAAACGCATCCGCCAAACCTGACAAACGTTTTTTGCGAATGTGGTACAAACGACGACATTGTAAGTACACATATATATTTTTTCCTTATTGGAAATTTTATAATCATTTTTATCAACGTACCTTGTTTACGATGTTACCAACTTTAAAAAAAAAAAAAAAAAAATTTCCTCCGATCTTTAACCCAAACGCGAGGACATGACAAAAAAAAAAAAAAAAAAAAATGTTCTAGAAGACCCTGAAATCCGAAGTTCATTTTTTCTCTTTTTCTTCCATTACCACGTGGAAAATTATATTTTTTTCTTTTTTTTTTTCTTTAAATAAGAATCGATAATGATAATAGTGATGATAATAATAATAATAATACACGAGGGTTTTTTTTTTCACGAATTTATTATTGTTTTTCTCGTTTAAACATTTCGGTTTCTTTTCAAAACGATTCATTTTTTTGTTTTTGTTTTTTGTTTTATGGAGCGAAAGGGAGGAGAATGGGGGAGGGGGTGGTAGGGGGAAGGGGGAAGGGAAAGTACAAAAGTTATTATTATTATTATTATTATTATTATCGTTAGGAGAATTTGATTTTTTTTTTTTATATTTTTTTTAATACCGAAAAATGTTTGAACTTGCCAATTGGGCTAAATATCAAAAATCCATTAGAAAAAATTTATTTTATTTTTTTATTTTTTTTTTTTACTGAAACGAATATATAAGTTCGTTTGCGTTTTTCTCCCCATTTTTTTTTTTTATTTATTTAATGATACGTGGGGAGGGGGTGGAGGGGGGGGGGGAAAAAAAAAGAAAATTTTGTAAAATGCTATGGCGAACGTGTTTCATGAAATTACGAAAAAAAAAAAAATGTAGGTTTTCTATTGTCGTGAAAAACGTGACGAAGGTCAATCCGTTAAAAACTATTCAATAAACGACGACAAATTTAAATTTTATTTTTTCTTATTTATTTAAGCGTGAACGATAATAATAATAATAATAATAATAATAATAATAATAATAATAATAATATAATTAGGGTCGTTTGTATTGATTGCTATAAACGTTGCCCGACTGATTTTTCCTTCTTTTAAACGCCTTCGATTAAATCAAAGGCGAAGGAAGGAAGGAAGGGAGGAAGGAAAATAAAAGGGCGGAAATGGAGGAAGTGAAAAAGTTTTTTTTTTTTTTTTTTTATTTATTGATTTTTTTTTTTTTTTTGTAAATCATTTCAAGGAAAAATATTAAAAAGAAGGAAAAGAAAAATTACTTCCGCACCTAAAACTATCGACTGGTTGTTTGTTGTTGTCGTCGTCGTTGTTGTTGTTGTTGTTGTTGTTATTGCCGTAAGGTCGTACGGCTTCATTACTTTAAAAATAATTTTTTTTTTTTTTTTTAATGGCTTTTGTTAATGATTATTACGTTTCAAAATGGTTTTTTAAAAAAAAAAAAATTCTTCTGCTTCTTCTTCCTCTTTTTGTTTCTTTATTTTCCAAATTTTCCCTGTTTTCAAAATCAAAAATTTTTTTTATCCCTTTCGAAATTTGGGAGCGTGTGCGTGTGTGCGCGTGTGTGTTGGTTGATTTTTCAAATTTCGTTTCATAAAAAGTTTAAAATTACGTTACGTCATCCCAAGATGGAAGTATTTGAATATTTAAAATAATAATAATGATAAAAAAAACCGCGGATCGTAATGGCGGCGGTTTTTGTCCAGGTACAAATTTCGAGGTTGTTGTTGAAAACTTTAAACTTTGACCGAATAATAATAAAAAAAAATTTTACGTTATAGACGAGTAGTAAAAAATATTAGTAGTAGTAATTTGCCTTTTATTATTATTATTATTATTATTATTTTATTTTGCAGACGATAACATGCGATTGCGAAGCCACACCCGCACTTCAATTAAAAGCGTTCAGGCAGAAAGAGGAGAAAGTCGAAGTTTCGCATTACAGATTGAACGTTAACCGGTTCAGAGCGAGGCTCAATATCGGTTTCATAACGGAAAAATTATTGGCGGAAGTCAAATGCGACGGATGGCCCGATGTAAGTATAATAAAAATGATCACATCCGTTTCCCCCTTCCCCCTCCCCCTCTCCCCCCGGGTTTCCGCCTTCGTTCGTCGTAGGTAAAAAAAAAAAAAAAAAAAAAAAGTCGGAAACGTTTAAGGTACATTTTCATCAATGCAATTCATCTCGATCACCTTGACTCATAATATTTCGATTATGCGTCATAATCACCGTCGTAATTATCATTATCATTATCGTCATCATTACTACCATCGAAGTAGTATTAATAATAATAATAATAATAATAATAATTATTATTATTATTATTATTATTATTATTATTATCAACTTGAATCACGTATAAAAATAAAACGAAAAATAATAATAATAATAATAATAAAAATGGACTCTTTTCGTTCGTGTCAAACGGCGGAAGAAAAACTTTTGATATTCATTTCATGAATTTTCAATTTTTCATTTTTCTTTTTTCTTTTTTTTAAAGATAAAAGTCGCTTTGGCTCCTGTGGGAAGTATAAAAAACAACACGGATGAACAATTCCAACAGGACGTAATTGCGGATACTTTTGTGACAGCCATGAGAAATTCCGTCGTACCATTGAATTTAAATCAGTATCCATCTTGTCCGAGATTTAGCAGGTTTAAACATTCGAACAACAACAACAACAACAACAACAACAACGCATCTCCCGATTTCCAAGACGATTCGGTAAGAAAAAAGGTTTTTCTCTTAAAAACAGAGCGAGAGTGAGAGAGAGAGAGAGAGAGGGAGAGGGAGTGAGTGAGTGAGAAAGAAAGACGTTAAAATTTAAAAAAAGGGTGAAGGGGGAAAGGGGGAAAATAGAAACATTAAATGTCGCAGAAAAAAAAATTCTTGGTGCTGTCGTCGTCGTCGTCGTTGCGTCGTCTGCGTCGATCGTTTAAAAAATATTAATAATAATAATAATAATTACCGACGGTTTTTTTTTTTTTTTTGAAAAATTTCTTAATTTAGTCATCAGGTGGAGAGAACGGGTCGCGGTCGTGGTCGTGGTGGTGGTGGTGGTGGGGGGAGGGAGGCGAAAAGAAAATTAATAAATAAATGAATTTTTTTTTTTTTTTAATTTGTTCGTTTCCGCTAAAACGTTTCTAGAACATTAAAGAAAAAAAAAAGAAAAAATCGCATGCCGTAATGCGCTTAACTGGTTGTTGTTGTTGTTATTATTAGATCAATAAAAATTTACACGGTGAATTATATTACACAAAGCCGTAAAAAAAAAAAAAAAAAGAAAGTATTCGATTTTACAAGCTATTATTATTATTATTATTATTATTATGTTATAGCATACATGTCGTTTATTATTATTATTTTATAGATCGATTTTCGATGCGAAAACAATAATTGATTGGTAATTTGTTTTTAATAAAAGAAATTAACGTTGGGATGGGACGGGACGGGGGGGGCAGGAGTAGGAGTAGGAGGAGATGGAGGAGGGGGGAAAGAAAAGAAAAGAAAATGAAATGAAAATAATGATAATTAATCATCTCATATTTCTCATTATTATTATTATTATTATTGTTTGGTTTGTACTCAGCTGAACAAAATGCTGTTGGAATTTTCCGATAATGCGAATTCGTTAAATGAAAATACGGGAAGGAGGAGACAATTGGTCATAACGGGAATTCAAGCCATGAATTTGAGCGAGGATTGTCGTAATTCTTATTGCATTTTAGAAATGGACGAACCTCCTCAAAAATATATTTCGTCGACGCAAAAAAACACGTCCGAACCCGTTTGGGACGAACAATTTATATTGTAAGCACAAAAAACGTTTGATTTGACGTTTGTTTGTTTGTTTGTTTTTTATTCACTTAAATTTTTTGAGTTTGCTTTCGTTTGTTATTATTATAGCCTGATTGACTAGATTTGAGAGAGAGAGAGAGAGAGAGAAAGAGAGCGAAAAGATTTTGTTTTCTCTTTCTCTCTCTCTCTCTCTTTTTTTTTTTTTTTTCGGTCGCTCTCTAGTCAACGTTGTCAACGTTTTAATTTCAGTAACGTGAAACCGGGAAAAGGCGAATTGCTATTTGAAATATACGAAAACACGAGTAAAAAATTATTGGGAATGGGAATCGTCGGTACGGAAGAATTGATGAGTAATCACACGAGGCGACAGATGATTCCTCTTCAATCGCAACCTTTCGAAAGTGATAGAATAACCGGAAGTATTGCCGTAGAGGTATTTTACACACCGCACGACTTTATTATTACAAGCGTTTCCGCTTTTTCTCCGACTCGCGAAACTCGAGTTTTGCGTTTTGCGTTTTTGTTTGAACCGCGCACATGTTTGTTTGTTTGTTTCTCATTCCCTCCCCTCCCTTCCCCCATTTTTTTATTTCTTTTTCCCTTTCATTTTTCACGGTACATGCTTTTGTCTTTTGCACGTTTTTAAGAATAAGAAGAATATTATCGTGGGCGTGCGGTTTCCGCATCGTTTGACATTTTTTTTTTTTTTTTTTTTTACATTGCGATTTATCGATCGATGGATCGATCAATCGATTTATCGATCGTTATTTGTGGGTGTTTCGATATTGTTTGCTTCCTGTTTTCTTTTTCAAAACAAATTACCTTTTTAATACTTGCGACAAACCTGATTCCATAAATCGTTTTGTTTACTTAACCGCGTTTATGATTTCATATCACAGTCGAAACTTGATTAAATTTAAAAAGAAAAGAATGAAATCTAACACGAAATTGTGTTTTGTGTTTAATTAAATTTTGTTTGTTTGTTTGTTTGTTTATTGGTTTGCGTTTTTGCGGTAGAAAAGCTTTAATATACGCACACACGCGCATGCGCACGCATGAAAATGTGGAAAAGCAGAAGAAGAGGAGGAAGAAGAAGAAAACGTTAATTTTGATTACTTTTGAAACCATCATGGTAATGTCGACGGTTTAAGAAAATTTTTCATTTTTTTTGTTTTTCAGTTTATGGTCGTGGAGGACAACACAAACAAAAATTCAAATGACGTCACGCCACACAAGTATAAGGAAGTGATAAAATCAGTTACACCGGGTGGAAACGTGATAACAACATCGAAAACGGTTTTCACGGCGAGCGAAGGTTTTTACTTTTTTTTTTTCCTTTGTAAAGAGGATGGAAACAACCTTTTTTGATCTCTCTCTCTCTCTCTCTCTCTTTTACAGGTCAGCTCGCGAACGGAGTCGAAGCCGTTACGGATTCAGCTTTGAAAGAATTGGAGTCGCGTGAAAAGACAAATTCGGGAACGAAATCGCCGACGAGTAAAAGTACTTTAATTATTCACAGCGTTTCAAGGGTTAGTAGTCAACCTTTCGGAAGACATTTTTTTTCTTTTTTTTTTTTTTTTTCCTTTTTTTTCTTTCCATTTTTGTGAGAAAAAACCCCCAAAAGATTGGGCAGTGGTAGTGGTAGTAGTAGTAGTAGTAGTAGTAGAGATAATTAAAAGTGCCCCGCCTGCGAGTGACGAGTTAACCGCCGATATTTTGTTTTAGTAGTAGTTTAGTTTAATCATTATTATTATTATTATTGTTTTTTTTTTTTTTTTTTTTTGTTTAAACAAATGAATACTTATTTTTATTTTTTGTCTCTCTCTCTCTCTCTCTCTCTCTCTCGTTCGTTCGACCGTTTGTTTGTTGAAAATGAAGGAAAATGCATTCAATGAACCTCATGAAAACATAAAGGTAATTTTCTTTTTTTTTTTTTTTTTTTTTTTTTTTTTTTATATATACTGAGGTTGAGAAAAACCATTGCTTTTTATAAATAAAAATATTTGCTTATTATTATTATTATTTGTTGCTGTTGGAAAAGCGGAAAATGTTTTACAAAAAAAATTTATGTATTGCTAATAGGTCGAACAAAGTAGAAATGGTTTATGGCGGGAAGTTGTCGGCACGGGCGAACCGGTGGGTAATTTGTTATAATAACACTATTAACCTATTGCTTTTCACGCAATTATTATTATTATTATTATTATTATTATTATTATTATTATTATTATTATTATTATTATTATTACTGTAATAAAAAGAAAAAGAAAATTCACATTAGGGATCGGGTTGTGTAGATAGTTTACCAAAAAAAAAAACAAAAGGGAAAATTTGAAATTGATTGATTAATTATTATTATTATTATTATTTTTCTTTTTTTCCGATATTTTCCAGCAAGGAACGTTGGATGGATCCGTTCCAAATGAGTCAAAAAATGAAAAATCCGAGCCTGCAGAAGACGAAGGTAATGATGATGATGATGATAATTATTACACGTTAATGCGAAAAAGATTTCATCAGTAATGATAATGATAATAAATGTGGGTTTTTTTTTTTTTTTTTTTTTTTTTTTGGTTTTTCCAGGGCGGGGTCGTAGTAGAAAACGACGTCGAGATTTTTTCGGAACGATTAAACGTAAATTGACAATGTCGAGAGCGAGATCGAAATCCGTGGATCCGGGTGAAAGAGTCGAAGTTGACCCTTTGACCCGATCCGTGTCGGCTGATAGAATGAGAGAATCGACTCCCCATTCGAGAGGTAAAATTTAAAAAAAAAAAAAAAACAGCAAAAAAAAAAATTCAATTCAATTAATTATTTAAAAAAAATGACGAAGTGAAAAAGTATTATTATTATCATTATCCAAAAAATAATAATAATAATTGATTAAAAATTCTTTTTTTTTTTTTTTTTTTTTTTTTTGTCTCTTCCATGATTCTGCTGGACAAATTAATCGCCTAACGTTTAAATAAATAAATTTCTTCGGTAAGCCCATAAAGATATATATATATATAGTAGGCTGTGATGATGTGAATTTTGGTGTCGCGATCGCGAAACAAGGAACACACTCGTTGAAATAATTGTTTTTCTTTCTCTCTCTAACCCATAGGATAATGATGAGTAGGAACGTCATTGAGAGTGGGAGATGGAGAAATTTCTAGAAGGTCTAGTCTGAGTGATACGTCCGGTCTTAGCGGTGCTTCGGCGAGAACTTATTTGAACGAAGCTTCAACGTTGGTTCTCGAAACCGTCGAAAACGGATTTAAAAAGTTTGTATTGTGGGGGAGGGGGAGGGGAGGGGGTTCGAAAAGATTCGATCCGATTGATATGTTTTTTTTTTTTTTTTTTTCCCATGTTGTCAGACATTATCTGGTACCATTATCGTTGGCCAAAAGGAATAAATGGAAGAAAAAGGGAACAAAACTTCACATATACAACGATCACACATTCATTGCCAAGCATTTCTACGGGTGAGTTTGTCTCTTTTTCTTTTTGCCTAAGAAGTAATAAGAGAGAGAGAGAGAGATAAAACATTGATTTTCCTTTTCAGGACCGTAGTCTGTCAAGTCTGTTCGTCAAATATTCCAAGACGATTTGGGAAACAAGGATACGAGTGTAGGGATTGTCTTCTCAAATGTCACAAAGCTTGTCACGTGAAAGCGGACCAAAGTTGTCCCGACTCGGGCATACACAACATTGAATTGTAAGTGAAAAAATTATCATTATTATTACTATCGATCGCGAGAAACGATGATGATGATGATGATGATGATGATTATTACGATGGTTAAACGCGTTCTTATTTATTTTTTATTTTTTATTTTTTTTCTTTCAAAAAATGGGTCCATGCTTCCGGTTTTGAGCGAATAAATCCGGGTAAGAATGTTTGCCCTTGTGTTGCTGCTGTTGATTTACGACCTCCTCCCACTCCCCCTCCACTCCTCCTACTTTCTCTTCTTCCTTCCCCCTCTCTCCTCCCACTTCCCCTCCACTCCTCCTTTTTGTTCCTTCCTCTCTTCCCGTTTGTTTTAAGACTCGTAGACGAGCATGTTGGTCGGTTCTCTCTTAGCAATAAAACTTTTCTTTGTTCGTTTCCGTTTATTAATAATAATAATAATAATAATAATAATTTTATCGTTTTTTGTTTGTTTTTTGTTTGTTTGCTTTTTTTTTTTTTTTTTAATATAATAACGTGAATGTCGAATGATTGATTGATTGATTGATTGATTTGTTCCGATGAATGTTTTCGGTTTTATTCTTTTTAAAAAAAAAATTAACGCGAGCGTCTTGTCATCGTCGTCGTTATTTGATTTTTTCCAGAATAAAAATGGTGGGTAGTCCGATTCTGGATAAAAAGCACCAACTCCCTCCGATTTCCCCGAGGAGCAAATCACTTAGAAGTCGAATTTTTTCTGGAACTCTTACAAGGAAAGAAACATGAAAAAAAATTATAAATTTAAAAAAAAAAATGAAAAAAAATGAAAAAAATGAAAAAAGGAAAAAAAAATGGAGAAATTTTTTTTTTTCGTTTAATTTAATTTTAAAAATTTAATAATAATAATAATAATAATAATAATAATAATAATAATAATAATGATAATGATAATAATTTAAACGTCTTGCTTGAAAAAAAAAAAAAAGGAAAAAAAAATTTATTCGAACCGCGAGAGAAACGCGTTTAAAAATTTTGTTTTACTTCTTCCATATTTTCTTCCACTTTACACCACGTGGTGTTCCACGTGTGTTGCAATCATTTTTTGCACACGCGTGTCGTACGTGAGAAACACTCGAGATATTGACGTCATCAAAAATTTAAATTCGTATATGCCTGTGTGTGTGTAATCTATAAGTAAAAAAAAAAAAAAAATGTGTCTCACACATGAATATGCTCTCTATTTCTCTTTCTCTCTCTCTCTCTCTCTCTTTATCTCTCCCCTCTCTCTCTCACACACACACATGAGTATGCAATCGAAGACTTTTTTTTTTTTTTTGCGCAAGACGCTCATTTAAATAAATAAATAAATACTTAATTAAAATAAAAAAAAAAAAAAAAAGAAAATCGCTGTGATAAAATGTGTGTGCGTGCGTGACATCGTTTTATATAAATTTTTTTTTTTTAAATACGAAAATAAAAAGAAAAATTATTTTAAACGATTTTATTATTATTATTATTATTATTATTTTGTTATCATCACTGATGATAACGGATCGTTTATCGCCGAGGTATAATTATTATTATTATTTATTAATTAATTAATTAATTTATTTATTTTGCCATCTCTTGCATCTTTCTGATCCGCACGGTAGATGATGGATTCTTTCTCTATATTTTTTATTATCATTATTAAGTGAGAGAGAGAGAGAGAGAGAGTGTGATAATTACCCTCGGGCGAACGATTTAAATGATGATAATAATAATGATAATAATAATGATGATATTTACCGATATATTTATTTATTAATTAAATTTTTATTTTTTTTTATTTTGTTATAATTTATAAATTCGACGTTGATTTATTCTTTATTATATTATTAATTAATAATAACTACGATGATGATAATAATAATATATATATATGTATAATTAAATTATGTAAAATTTTATTAAGGGTAGGAGGTGGCTTGACAATAATAATAATAATAATAATGATAATAATAATAAACAAACGCAAATTTTTTTTATTTTTAATCAATAACTAATTTATTTATTATTATATTTAATAAAAATAAAAGGAAAAAAAATTATTAATCGTTATCGAAATAATGTTAATAATAATATTAAGAAATTAATAAATGATGATAATGATGATGATGATGATGATGATGATGATAATAATTTTTAAGGGAAAAAAAATTGAAAATTATCAAATGAAAAAAAAAACGAAAATCTAATTTTGCTTATTTTTAATATATTTATTATTATTATTATTTATTATTATTATTATTATTGTTAATAATATTAACAAAAATTTAATTTATTATTTATATTATTTATAATTATTAACCGATCGAAAGAGATTTTTAGAAAAGAGGAGAAGAAGAAGGGGGGGGGAAAAGAAAATTGTAATCGCGTTTGGATATTTTTTTCTTTTTTCTCTCTCTCTCTCTCTCTTTTTTGTATTTATTCGTTTATTATTATTATTATTATTATTATTATTATTATTTTTTCTATTTGTTACGCGTTTTAAATTTTATTTATTTATATAAATATGATAAGTTATTATTTATAACAAAGGAATGAATGAATGAATGAAATAAAAAAATTATTATAAAATAATAATGAATTGTTTAGGTTGTAAAAAAGTAATAAGAAAAAGTGATTATGATAATAATAATAAGTAATAAAAAATGTTACCAGTAATAATAATAATAATAATAATAATAATTAACTTTAATAAAATAAATAATTGAAAGAATAATAATACTAAAAAAAAATTGTTTTTTCCTTTCTATTTTTTTTTTTTTTTAAACCAAATTTTTTGATTTTGGAGTACATTTTTTTCTCTTTTTTTAATAAATGATTTTGATTATTATTATTATTATAAATAATTATTCGTTAAATTTTTTTTTTAATTTTATTTTATTTCAATGCGATAATTTAAATTTATTATTAATCACTTAACGGTTTTTTTCTTTTTTTTTTTTGAAATTTAACCGTTTTTTTCAATGAAATTGTTTTATTTATCGTTATGAAATATCAAATTAATAAAAATTAAAATTAAATTTAATCTGAAATAATAAGTTTTATCGATTGATTTTGTTTTATTAAGAAAAAAAAAGAAAAAGAAAAATGTACATAACAAATCGAATTTTAAAATTAATGTTTACAAAAATAAACAACGTCATTCGCGGTATCAATAAACGGAAGCAAAATGGAAATGGAACGCGGAACGAATGAGAAGCGACGCTAATTGGTAGCAAAGTAGGAACATATTCAATTCAATTTAGGTTGGTAGCATTTTTTTTTTTTATTTCACTTTTACATTGATACCGTTTACAACTATTTTTTTGATCATGAAGAAAATTTGTATTATTTTTAAAATACGATAAAGTAATTAAAATATTACAACCTCGATTGAATTATAATATTATCGCGTTTTATTTTAATCAATTTATTTAATTTATTTGTTTAACATTAATTCGTTTTTAAAAAAAAAAAAAAAAAAAAAAAAAAAAAAAATGGAAACGTTTTTTCCATTCGGAGATTAATAAGGAAAGGAAAGGAAAAGAAAGAAGAAAAAATAATCAATCAGTGAATGTGTTTGCGCGTGTTAATAATTATGTTTAAACGTATAAATTAAAATATAATAAATAATTAAAATGTCTTGCGGATTCGGTTACCGCATTTATTCCAAACGTAAAATGTTTGGATCAGTTCATCAAATGTGCATCAATAGAAATAGATATTACGAAACTAAAAAAATATTTTATTTAAAAAATAATAATAATTTAAACGGGATCGATGCATTAAAAAAAAAAAATTTACCAAAGACATTATCAATAATCGATATAAATAATCGTAGTTATAGTTTAATATCATATTCAAATGATGTTAAAAAAACAAAAAATAATATTTTATGTAGAAAACATGAACTGTTAACTTGTTCGAGTGAAAGTTTTTCCAGTTTAAAATCATCTAAACAAGATGATGTTAGAGTCGACAATAATAATGAAACTAAAGAAAAACAACTTTCCATATATCAAAAATTAAAAAAAATGTATAAAGAATATTGGTATGTTTTAATTCCAGTTCATTTAATAACTTCATCGATTTGGTTTGGTGGTTTTTATTACTTAGCAGCAAGGTTAGTTTGTTTTATTATTATTAAAACCGTTTTCTTATCGAAGTTTAATAAAAGATGAAAATGAATTTTTTTTTTTTCGTTTTCAGCGGTATAGATATTCCTGCACTTTTAGAATCGATGGGAGCTCCAGATTCATGGGTACAAAATTTAAAAAATTCAAAAGCTGGAAATTTAGTTCTTGCCTATACACTGTATAAAGTTGTTACACCAGTCAGATACACAATAACAGTAGGTAATAATGTAAAATAACAAATAATAATAATAAAACTTTATAATTGATTCAAGTCATGGAGATTAGTGGAAACATGATAAAAAATAATTTTTTTTTTTTTGCAGGAGGGACAACGATATCGATAAATTACTTAAAGAAATATGGTTTGGTCAAACCGGTTCCGAACAGGGAGCAAATAAAGAAAATGTATCAACAGCAGAAAGGTGCATTCAAGGATTTTACAACGAGTAAAATGCAAGTAACTAAAGATGAATTTTTGAAAAGTAAAAAAAATTTTAAACAAAATTGTAAAGATGCAACTGATGAATTGCATAAGTCTTTGTACGAGACAAGATCGGAATTTTCAAATTTTACTAAAACGGTCAAAGAGGAACACGCTCCACTAGTTAGAGCTTTAAAAAAAACATTTAATTCTGTTATTGGGAAAAAATGATGAGCGTGGTGGCGAGGGAATTTTCTTTTTCCACATTCTTCCCCTCCCCCTCCCCCTATTGCTTGTTTTTCTTTCTTTCTTTCTCGTTTAGTTTTTCTTTTAATTTCTTATTCGGTATTTATGAAAGGAAAAATCAATTTAAAAAATTATTATTATTATTATTAAGGAAGTTTTTATCATTTTGATAAGTCAAATTTTTCATATATATTTAAAAATAATAATGATGATAATAATAATAATAATTTTTTGGGGTGAGTAAAAAAAATTTGGGTTTGTCTCTTGTCCTTTTCTATTTTCATTTAACAAAATAATCTCTTTTACTTACTTAATCTTTTCTTTTTTTATATTAGAGTCCAATCATCTCTCTTTCTCTCCCCCTCTCTCTCTCTCTCTCTCGGTTCCCTTTTTTTCATTAAGAACTTTTTCCTTTTTTTTTTTGTAAGCCGGGAGTGGTGGTGTACTCCTGTAATCCAACTACTTGGAGGCTAGATACAGTGGATGTTTTTATTTCACGGGTTCTGGAATTGGATTTCTCTGTTGTTGACTGGGAGTCCGCTCGGGAGGAGTTAACACTTTCAACGTGGATGCCTTTGGGTTCCCCTATCATATCCAGATAATTAGAGGGAAGTTGATCACCCGAAAAGGTTTCCACGTTGAAATTCGCGGATTTAAATCCTGTCAGACAGAATCCACTTCCAGCAGTCCGTGTAATAAAAACAGACCTGTATCTATTCATAAAGGGAAAAGTGTTTGTAGGGATTGCGGGGGGAATCTTTGAGGCCCTTACACTGATGGGGGGGGGGGTTGAGGTTGAAATAGGTAGGTTATACTTTCGCGAGTGCCCCTCCCACAAAAAAAAAAAACTTCAACAATTTTTTTTTTTTTATTAATTCTTTTTATTTAACTTGTAAAAATTTTTCGCAGTCCCCGTTAAACAATAACGAATAACGAGGGGGGAGATTTCAAATAACTAAAAAAAACTAACATTGTCCACTACTAATAAATTTAACATTAATATTATTATTATTATTAATTAATTTTCGTTTCTTCTCAGATTACAATTAATAAATTACTAACATTATTATTATTATTAATAACATTTCTTCTTCTTATTCTTTTCTTTTCTTTCTTCTTTTCAAGTATTTTTCTCCCTCAATAATAACACAGGGATTAGTCGTAGGCCTCTCGGGATAATTATTATTATTATTATCGTCGTTTGACGTCGACGACGATAATAATAATTAAAATAATTTTCCGAGAGGTCAACGTCTAATCCCTATGTTATTATTACCCATGTTATTATTGGGGGAGAAAAATACTTCAAAGGGAGAAGCCTCTCCTCCCGGGAGGGGAGACTTCTCCCACGCGTGGGGGGCCCCCCGAGTGGGGACACTCGGGGCCCCCCACGCCGGGGGGAGGGGGCGCGCGGGGGGCCTCCGAGCGGGGACACTCGGGGGCCGAAGCCGGGGTGGGGGCGCGCGCGCGGGGGCATCTCATCAGTGTCCCATGTACTGGTAACTCGCCGACACTCCCTGAATCTGTTGCCTCGGGTCTCCGCTTATTCTCACGATGTGACAGGATCTGCACAAGAGTCTTCCTTCCAGGGGGTAACACCTCTTATCCGGCTCGTCCGTCAGTTGCATGCCGCAGTCCTGAAATGGCAATCGTTAATGCGTTCATTCTCCCCTTTTTTTTTCATTCCTCCCCACCCCTCCCCTTTGCCCCCGTTTTTTCCCCTCACTTACCGTTCTCTCCCCTTTGCTTTTTTTCCTCCCCACCCCGGCCCTCCCCCCTTTTTTTTTCTTTCCTCCCCACCCCGGCCCTACCCCCCTTTTTTTTCTTTCCTCCCCACCCAGCCCTCCCCCCTTTGCTTTTTTTCCTCCCCACCCCGACCCTACCCTATCCTCTTCTTTTATCTTCTTTCTTCCCATCTTCCTCTTCTTTGCTCTTCAAATCGAAATCTCTCACTCACCTCGCATATGTAACAATCCACGTGAAAGTCTTTGTCCATTGAAACCACTCTCACAGTTTCTTCTGTTCCCTAAAACAAACAAACAAAATGTTAAATATGTTTTTGTAAAATTGAAATAGATTAATAATAATAATAATAATAATAATATTGATTTAATTTTTTTTTGTTTTTCCTTACCTCGACTGGAGTTATTCCTTTTCCGCAAGCTGCACATTTCGGAGCAAACATCCTGCAACGACAAAAAAAATTAATTAATTAATTAATAAATAATAATAATAATAAAAACCGTTAACTTTTTTTTTATACGTTGGGTTGCCTGTCCTACATTTTACTAACTAATTAATTTTAATTTTAAATTTAAATTTAAATTTAATTTAAAAAAAAAAAAAAAAAAAAAAACGAAGTAATTTATCATTTTTTCTTTTTTTCCTACATTTACAGGGAAGAAAAAAGAAATCGAAAGCCGTAATTGAACAAACAAAAATAAATAAATAAATAATAATAATAATTATTATTTAAACAAACAAACAAACGAACGAACGAACGAAAAAAATTTCAACGATGTATCCGTCAGTGATGTTGTTGTCGTAAGAGGGAAAGAGGCAAAAAGAGAAAGAGATAGAGATAGAGGAACAAACAACAATTGGACAAACGAATAAATCGCAATAGTAATAATAATAATATTAATAATAATAATTGATCCAATGCCGTCAATGATAATATTATTATTACTATTATTGCCTAAAAACAAATACTTAAACAGTGATAACAACAAGAATAATAATAATAGTAATAATAATAATGATAATGATAATGATAATGATGATAAACAGTGACGATGACAGGAATCGAGCAAGAAATTCATTTTGTCGAAGAGAAGAAAAAAAAAAAAAAAAAAAAATTTTTTTAAATATAAAACAACAATAAAAAGCAAATTTTCTTTTTCTTTTTTTTCCCTGTTTGTTTGTTTGTTTGATTGTTTGTTTGTAATATGGTTACAAACTCACCTGTGGTAATCGTTGACGCAATATATCTTGTTATCCACGTCGACCGTGAATGGGACTCCGTCGAGGCAATCGTTGCAAACGCAACACCTGAAACAACCAGGATGGTAACTCTTTCCCATTGCTTGCAATATCATTTCCATGATCAAATGACCGCAAATGGCGCATTTCTCTGCCGTCTGTTGAAATCCGGAATACTACAAAACAAACACAAAACGTGAATAAACGTTCACCGACACGCAAACAAACACAAACACAAACACAACAAACACAAGCGCAAACACTCACCAGATAATCTTCCTCGCAGTAAACCCGACCGTGAACGTTGTAAAAAGCTTTCCCTCTCAATGCTCTCCCGCAGGAACAACAAATGAAACAATTTGTGTGGTAAAGATTTCCCATGGCTTGACACGCTTGACCGGCTCCTGTGACTTTTTCACCGCACGTGTGACAAATGCCTGAAAATAAAATAAATTCCATCATCATCATTATCATCATCATCATCATTATTATTATTATTATATAATCCCGTTTCCGTTTAAAATTTTTACGCGAACGTTTTGTCTTCTTCTCTTTTCTTTTCATTTGCCAAACCGTTCGTTTGCCAAATAAAAAAAAAACTGTAACGATTTTCATCTTTTCTCTCTCTCTCTCTCTCTTTTCTCTCTCTTTCATTTAGAAAACCAGAAGAAGAAGAAGAAGCAGAAGAAAAAGAAAAACTTACAAAGATCAACTTTCAAATACGATTGTCCAGAATTCATCATCATTTCCCTGCCTCATGCGATTGTTTGAAAACAAAATTCACCAACAACAAACACAAACGATTTCTCTTTACTATTATTATTATTATTATTATTATTATTATTATTATTATTATTATTATTATCAATCACTACACTCGATTTAAATACAAAATTTAAATTTTTCCTTTTAAATCCGAACAACAACAACAACAACCACGTTTAAAACAGTTTGAGGTGAACTGAAAAATAATTTATTATCATCATTATCATCATGTGGTGTCGTCGTTTGTTGTTATTATCATCATCATTATTACCGAGTGGCAATCAAACAAACAGCAAAAAAAAAAAAAAAAAATTTCAAAAATTAAGAAGGATACGTCAAATTAAAACCTATTTTCCATTTGTCGTCGTCGACATTATCAAAAATTATTAAATGATTGACTATCATTTACACACACAAGAACAAAATTACGAGTCCGACAACCGAACAACCGAACAAACAAACAAACAAAATTTTCCCGATCGTACACGGTTTTTTGTTTTTCTCGAATGAGAAGAAGAGGAAACAACCGAAATTTTTTTTTTTTTTTTTTTTTTTCTGGATGTCATCCAAACCGGCCTTAAACCGCGTCTATAATTAGGATCCACGGCGCGAGTAGCCGTAAAACAAACAAACAAACAAACAAAAATTTAATTAATTTATAAATCGTACAAACGACCGTTAAAAATTTTTTCTTTTTCAACAAACAAACGGCGGAAACGTTAAAATCAAACAAGACCTTGATTTCCCCGCACACGCACACGCACATACAACCCCACGCGACTTTTTCTTCTCCTATCGAAGCCATTGTAAAAAAAAGGAGGTTTAATTATCACCGTCGCAAACGGGGGTATTGTTTGTTCGATTGTTTGTTTGTTTGTTTTCGATTGTTCTTGTCGTCTTCCTAGTCTGTGACCCATATAATAAAAATGCAAAAGTTTGCTAAATGGAAACAAGTCACTAAAAGTCTTCGAACCTTTCTACCCCCCCTCTCTCTCTCTCTCGTAAACAAACGAACAAACAAACATCACGAGTTTATTATTATTATTATTATTAAAAATTTTTCTTTTTCTTTTTCTTCGAACGATGATGATGATGATGATAATAACAAAATACGTTTTCCTTTTGATTTTACAAAATCATTAGTCAATTAAGGACATGACGGCAAGACCGGTTAAGCTTGATAAATGCCCGATTTGTTTGTTTGTTTGTTTGTTCGGTTGTTTGCCACCGGAAAAAAAAAAAAAAAAAAAACAGTCACCACAAATCAACCAAAACCTTGCAACCAAAAATTTTTTTTTTTACCACACTAAATTTGGATATATAACAAAAAAAAATTTTTTTTTTTTTTGAATTTATTAACTTCGCGTTTGTTTTCGTTTTGCTCCCGCCACCCCCAACCCCCGTACCTAGAACGAACCTGATTTATTAACAACGACAACAAACGAATTTATATAATCAAAAGAGGACATGTATGAGAACATGATTCACTTTTAGAAGAAAAAAAAAATTAAAAAAATCAAAACGTTGCCCTCGACAAAGTTTGACACAGAGAGTAAATAATAATGATAATAACGATATAAGGAACGTGCACGCGCACGTGCACACTCACACTCACTCACGCCCCCTTTTTGTAAGATGCAAAAACAAACGAAATCTCATTAACTTTTAAATTACAAAAAAAAAAAAAAAACAGATAAACCACTCGACATTGTTTTTCACTACTCGAGAGTTACACGACGAATAATAAATGGAAAATGGAAAATAATTAATAATAATAATAATAATAATAATAACAATAATTTTTTTTTCAGGTATTTAAGTCAACCACCCAATGTTACAAAAAAAAATTTACGGAAATTTTCAACCCACAGATTTTTAGCAACAGGTTTTCGATTTCAATATCGATGAGATTTCGTTTCACATTTACTTATTGATTGGTTGATTGGCTTTGTGCCATTCATTCAAAACCTTATTTTTTCTTTTTTAAAACCTGTACGCACACACACACATTCACTTAATTATGTCACCTCACATCTAACTTTGAATAAAACTAAATAATGAACCAATTTTTTTTTTTTTTTTTTTTTGTGACCAGAAAACAAAAATCGACAACACCTAAATTGAAAATGAATGAAAAATAATAAAATGTTCTTCACCTTGATGGACAATTTTACAATTAGCTGCTTAATTGTTCAAATCATAATTACAATTGTACTTAATCAATTATTATTATTATTATTATTACTAATTGATAAAAATGAAAAAATAATTTTTAAGTTAAGTTTGAAGGTTTTTTTCTTTCATTCTGGTATAATTCCATGATAAAATTATTATTGAATATCCCTAATTGAAATTTTGTTAAAGAATTCAAGAGAGAGAGAGAGAGAGAGAGAGAGAGAGAGAGATAAAACACAAACAAAGCCACATTATTATTATCATTATCATTATTTTGATATCCTCAATGTCCACAATAATATTATTATCTAAAGAATATTTTAAATATTTCTTTTAATCACATTTGTCGTTAAATTTTTTTGTGAATGATTTTATGAAATAATAATTAAAAGCAAGTTATGAACTTACCAAAATATTCTCCTTCTTCTTCTTGTTTCTCCATTTCTTCTTCCAACTGCCTTGTTAATTCTTCAATTTTTCTTTCCGCTTCTGTCGGACCAGTCTGTCGAGGTGGTGTCACATAATAAGGTAATAAATTTTTTCCACTGTACATATTTCCATCGTAAACTTTAAGCTTGGCATTGACATCATCGTCATCCTCTTCGTTTTCGGAATAAGTTGAATTTATCGGAAGTCCACTCGAAATCGGTTTGAGAACACCTGGATTGTCTAATGCTAAACATTGTGATGGAATCGAATGTGATGTTGTACTCTGCAAAAGTAATTTTAAGGAATCATTTTTATTTTTAGAAATAAGATTATAGTACAAAAAAGAAAAAGAAAAAATTGACTTACTTTCCCACTCGAACTGTGAGTTGGACTTTGTTTTATGTAAGAACTAGAAGAATATTTATCACTACTACTTTGTCTCTTTAAATCTGATTCATGTTTAGGACTATTTGTAGCATATGAAACTTGCGAATAATATTTTTCCCCATTGAGTTTATGAATATCGTTTTCATTCGGATTACAAATAATCTGTTCTACTGGTCTAGGAGCTGCATATCTATTTGCAGCAATTATATGACCTCTTTCATAAATTTTATAATCTGGTGGTACGTTTTTAACTGGTAGAGATTGATGAGATGGCTCGACGAGAAAGCTTTCTATAGCACCAACAGGTCTATAAGGTTTACCAAAACTTCCCCGCCCTGGCGATGATAAATTACTACCAGGCAAAGACCTTGTGATTGATTTATCGGTATCTTCATATTGTGAATAATTGGAAAGAACTACAGAATGACTTGATAAAGAATGTCTTTGACCGTCCTTGGGAAGTATTCTACCATATCCCGCATCGTTAGGAACAATTAAATCGTCTGAATTTAATGCAAAACGCGAAAACTTTTCGTGTAATAAACCTGATTCATCACTTTCACTCATTATGAATCATTTTCATAAACAATCAAATGCGATTTTATAATTGTCAAAATTATTATTTTAAAATTAAATTATATTTTATCGAAGAGATATTTAAAAATTAAAAAAATAAAATTTAAAAAGAATATTTTTCAAATTATTTTTAATAATATGCTTATTAAACGAATAAAATTACTTTAAAAAAAAAAAAAAAAAAAAAAAAAAACTGAAAACGAGTACCTTTACTAATCACTTAAACTTAGACCAGCACATTGCTTAAAGAGTGTAATAAACACAAAGTGACTAATGACACTGCGTTTATAAATGGAAGCGCCAATGGTAATTGTTTGGAGTACGTTCAGAAACCGTAAAATTTCCCCGCCTTAAATGGTTTTTAAAATTTAACGGTCATGGAAGCATAATTTATCGTTTATTACGTTTAAAAAAAAATTTAAATTATTTATATTATAACATTTTATTTTATTATTTTCATAAAAAGTTTTTATTTCAATTAAAATATAACATATTATTTAAATATAATTAAAAATTAAATTCCCGCCATTTTTTTTTTTAAAAATCATCTTTAAAACTTTTAATATAAAAAGTTTTTGGTTTCATAACACAATTTTTTTAAAAATTAAAATCAGGTACGTAAAATATGTTGAAATCCTTTTGTTTATTATTAGAATATTTAATATTCTCACATAATTGGTCCATTTTTATTTTTTTTTTCCCCGTGTTAAAGAGAACAAATATAAATAAAATACGCCATTGATGAATTATTAATTATTTAATTCTTTTTTTTTAATAATTTCAAGATATTTTTTTATTTATCATAAAATAAATATATACCAGTTTTAAAATAATTTATAAAAAAAAAAAAAAATATTTTAATTTTTTAACAACAATTTATAAATAATTAAAGTAAATAAATAATTTTAAACAATTATATATATATATAAAAAAAAAATTTAACATTAGAGGTATATATATATATATATCATTTTACATACAATAAATAATTATTATTAATAATTTAATAAATTAATTTACAATTATTTTTGATATATTTTTTTTTTAAATTAATTAATTTTATATAATAATTAATAAAAATTAATTAATGTGTATTGCTCTGATATTATATTACATAATAAAAACAAAAGATAAACAATTCAAACACTCTATGAAATTTTATGTCGTGCCCGTTGTTGTTTTTTTTGTCGCAAATTCGTGTAAAATGTCGCAAGCCATTTTCACGTCATTTCTCGTTATGCCCAAAGCTCTTATAACCGCGTCCTGCGTGTAACCCTCGCTCGTTAATTGCGTTATGTAATCCATGTTTAAATTTTCATAAGCAATGTTTCTATCATCACTCTTGTTTTTCATCAATATTTTATTCTTTTCGTTATCCATTCCGAACCTTTCTTCACCCAACGAACATTTACGAAAACAAATATTCGAATCCGACGTCGGAGTCCTCGATGGTGAGGGTAAAGGATGAGTGTGAGAATGAGATGAAACCAAAACCGTGTTTGTGTTCGACATCAACCTGGAATTAATCAAAGTCGAATGATGATGATGATGATGAAGAGGTAGCAAAGTCGAAAATGCTATTTTTGCCGGTGGCGGTATCGGTAATTGATTATTATTGCTCTTTGTATCCAACCTATTATTATTATTATTATTATTAACAATGACTTTTTTAGGTCCTGAACTACAACTACTCTCTGAAACAACAAAAAATATCAATGCAAGTAGTAATCAATAATTTAAATTTATAAACGATACCTAAATCATCATCAAATCAAACATACCTAAAATTGTAACGTTTTCATAATTTGGTTTTTTTTTAGAAATTTGTGAGATTTTGTCGGTTATGGTTTCCATTTTTAAAATCTCCCCATCTGTTGTTGAAGAATTAGTAGTAGAATGTGAAGATGGTACAAGAGTTGTAGGTACGGTTGGTGTAGTTAAATCAAGGCATTGAATAGAATCCATATCTGAGGTTTGAAGAGCATCGTAAGTCGAGTCAGGGACTCCTGTATTAAAAAAACAAAATGGCGACATGTATTCACATATGTAAGTCTCTCTCTCTCTCTCTCTCTCTTTCTCTTTTTTATTGTAAATATAAGTCGTACCTGACGATGGTGACGTGTCACCTGTATATTCCGATACATTTTTATTAAAGCAATGTAATGAAATGGATGCTTCATCAAAATGTACATGTTGTTGTTGTTGTTGTTGTTGTTGTTGATTGGAACTGAAATAAATTTAGAATCAAATTCTAGGTTCCAGTCTTTTCTTCCTGTAGAATAATCAATTTACAAAAAAAATCTATTTAAATAAAATTTTTTATAACTAATTTAAAAATAAAAATAAAAACAAAAGAAAAAACAAAAGAAAAACTTCAAAATGGCTTCTTAAAAACTTTCTAATTCTTACTACTCCATTCGATTAACGATAGCTTGGGAAGGGGGGGGGGGTACCTTGTAATAAAAATAAAAAGAAAAGCAAATTTGGAGGGGGGGAGGGGCACGTGAAATAAAAATATCATTTAAAATCATACCCAGGTAAATTAGTGGGACTTCCTAGCGTTGGCGAAGGCCTTCTCGGGGGCAAAGGTGGAGGAGGAGGTGAATTTGTTAAACCGCTCGATGGTTTTCGTAATAATTGAGGCGATGTTTTCGGTGATATCATCGGACTTTTCCCATCCTAAACAAACAAACAAACAAACAATAATGATAATAACAACAAGAGCTTACTCAAATAATAATAATAATAATAATAATAATTGAAACTTACTTTACAATCTGCGTTATCAGTACGGGGTGATAGAGCTAAAGCTTGTAAACTGCTGTAGTTACAATTCCAAGTGTTTAGATCCTGAAAAAATAAAATAAAAATTCTTCCATTTCCGGTTTGAAACAAAACAAAAATTTATTTATTATTAATTAATAATTTTATTTAAAAAATTTTAATTTTTAACCTTTATTATTATTATTATTAATCGCATTACCTAATTATTTTTTTTGTTTCCTCCTATTTTTTTTTCTAATAAATTTTTTAAATAATTTATTTGAAAAAAAAAGAATTTAAAAAAATTAAAAAACTTATTCGGGGGGAAGGGTGGAGGGGAGGGGGAAACATACAACAAACGCATTAAAAAAAAAAAAAAAAATAACAAAAACAACAAACGGGGGTAACAAGCAAACAACACAAACGTAAAAATTTTAAATTTTTTTATTATTAATTATTATTATTATTAATTAACAACAAACAAACAAACAAGCAGAAAATTGTTTTAACGACGCGTATATCGAACGCACTTTCATAATTTCACTTTATTATTATTATTATTAATACGACCCGTGACGTATTTTCTTTTTTTTTCTCAACACTTTTCCTCTTTATTTAAACCGAAATGCCCGTTCGTTCGTTCGTTCGTTCGGACGAACGTCGCACTTATTATTATTATTATTATTATATAATCAAACAAAGCTAAAAATATATTTTTTCCATGCATTCATAAAAAAAAGGAAGGAAAATAATAATGCGGATAACAACATTTAATTATGCAAAAAAAAAAATAAAATAAAATAAAATAAATAAAAAAATTTTTTTTTCTTTTTTTTCCAATTTTATTATTAATCATTATTATTATTATTATTATTATTAGAAAGAAAATAAAAAAAAAAAACATTATCGATACAAATTATTATTATTATTATTATTATCACATACATATATAAGTACAAAAAGTGATATTTTTGGTTTGAATGGTGTATGCGTCCGTCATGCATAAGCCATTTTACATCCCCGCCGCCGCCGCCATTTTACAAACACACGCACACGCACACATTTAATAAGCCAATACTAAGGAACTGGCAAATAAAGCAAAGGATTAATTACACGACGAATAATAATAATAATAATAATAATAATAATAATAAAAACTATTTACCGTTATTATTATTATTATTACTACCGTCATCGTATCAAAAATTAAAATTAAAAAAAATACACTCAGTGGAATTCAGGTACCAACACATACGCAAAAAAAAATTCGGACAAATGCTTATACATATAAAAAAGAAAATATAATAATAATGATAATAAATAATAAAAAACGCTAAACGTACGACGTGGGGGGATGGAGGGGAGGAAAGGGGGGGGAGGAAGAGGGGTTTCATTCGGGCTCAGTGACATTCGGACGTGTCCGATACCTCTTCGTCATCGTCGAGATCTACCAAAGCGTTCGCCGCTCCCGATCCGGCTCGATGTTGCCTCTTCGGATCGAACGGATCCACGACTATTTGTTCCGTTCCTTTTATTTCGGCTCGGCAAAACGGACAACCTTGACCTTCCGAATCCTGCACGCGTGGAACCAGACCAGAGACGGGGAACGAGAAAGAGAAAGAGAAAAAAAAAAACATCATAATTAATCTAAAGTTACGAAATTCGCACGAAAAAAAAAAAAAAAAATGTTTAAGTGCTCAAGCAAGCACTCGATAAGAAGAAACGCACTCGATTCGCATCGTGCGTGAGTGAGTGCGAGAGTGCGTGAGTGCGTGTACAATCGCTTTTGTTTTGTTTTGAGTCAAAAAATACTTCTACCTGCCACGAGGTTAAACACGGTGTGCAAAGTAAATGTCCGCATGGTTCTATCCTAATATCTTTGTCGTTTTCCGCGCAGATTTTACACAATTGGAATGTGGATCCCATTTCGCAATATAATTCGTATTGCTCTTGCGTCACTTTGATATGATCCTCTGGAGTCGGTTGAACGGCCCACGACAAATCCGGATTCACGTTTCTCCCATCCGGAAAAAGATAACTGAAACAAACGATTCTAATTTGAATTCGAGAGAGAGAAAGAGAGAGAGAGAGAGTGAGTGAGAAAAATAATAATAATGATGAAACAATTTATTTAGTAGTGTGTGAGTGTGTGAGTGCGCACGCGCGTGACGAAGACATTCACTTTGCAAATGTGAAAATTTCAATGACGAGGTAAAAGAAGGAAGGAAGGTGGGTGGGTAGGTGGTGGTGAGACAGACTAATTATTCTTCCATACTCCGGACGATCATGATGATGATGATGATGATGATGATGATGACGTCGACGACTTTAAAAGCTTTTTGCGGAAATGTCTTTCTTCTCTTTTTTTTTTTTTCGCTTTCGAGAATCATTCATTCAATCATTCATTCATTCATTCATTCATTCAAAAAAAGTTGCAACAAGGGATTCGTGTGAAACTTTTCATCATCAAAAAAAAACCCTTGGCGCACGCGCAATGACCTCGTTAATCATTCGTAAAAGAAAAAAAAACTTACAATCCTTCTCTGTATCCGTCTAGCAGAGCCTGACACAGGGATTTGTTTTGCGGTATCGTCTGGAGTATGTCTCCATCTTGCGTGACGTAACCTATGGCCCACTGTCCGAGCCTAGTGCAACTCAGTCGAAACACGTAGCTTCCAGGTTTGTTTATGTATTTTTGCAATCTCGCTTTGACTTCGTCGTAGGTGAGAAAAGCCACGTAACCGGGATGCGTCACGGCTAATATTTGCCAATTCCTTAGCAGCGTCGTCCACGGTTGAAACAGTCTACGAATACCAAAAAAAAAAAAAAAAAAAAAATTACAAAAATGGATAAAACCCCCCCCCCCAAAAAAAAAAAAAAAAAAACAAACGTATGATGATAATATCGCGTGGGAATGGGAAATTTCTAGAAATGAAAATCGAATCCAATCTTCTAACCCCTCCCCCTCCTTTTTTTCTCCAACTTTCACCCCTCGGATCAACCACCCACCTTACTACGTTTCTATTTCCCCCACTTCCACGTGCCACAACCGTGACCGCTTTTCCCTTTGCCCCTTTTTTCATTTCCCCCTCTCCCCCCCCTCCCCCCCCCCCGGTGTGCGTAAACGCATTCATTTTTACATTACCTTGTAAAAACGTCAAATTCAAAATTTGAAATGTAATCGTTACACGACAGATCGATAGTCGATTTGAGTGCCATGGCCTGGAGACCTGATGATATCGGATGAACTTCATTCAAATATTGTCTAAATACTTTCCAAGGAACTAAAGTGCTGGAAAAGAAAAGAAAAGAAAAGAAAAATGAAAAATGAAAATTTAAGAAAAAAAATTAATTTTCCCATCTCCCCCTCTTCCCCTCCCCTCCCTCCTCCCTCCCGTCTAAATTTAAAGTTTAAAAAAATTTTTTTCCCGGTTCGATATTTACGATAAATTTATTAAAAATCTCACGCACACGCACGAACACGCACACACACAACCTTGAAGAAAAAAAAAAAACGTTAAAATAACATTTTTCGACTTCGAGATTCTCTTTCGAAAAAGGTCACGCACAATTTTTTTATTTTGTTCAGGGTAACGCATTTTTTAAAAATAAAAAAAATTTCCGCCATTTTTATTTTTATTTTCTTATTTTTAAAAAATTTAAAAGCGAAGGAAAAAGGAAGAAAGGCAGGCGGCACTCGAATAAACCCACACGGGATAACCTTTCGTGATCCGCCATTTTTTTTTTTTTTTTTTTTTTTTGTTTTAAATAAACACATTCACGATAATCGATAACGATATATCGAATGTAAATCGATTCGATTTCATTTTTAAAAAAAAAAAAATCCCTCCTTTTAACGGTCATTTATTTTAATGAGATTTAAATAAGAGGTTTTCCTTTTCCCTCTTTCCTCCTTCCTCCTTCCACCTCCCCTCCTACCCCTTCCTCTTCCCCCCGCGTTGTTGAAAAATAATTGGTGTGTACACAACATAAAATTTAACGATGATAAAAAAAAAAAAAAAACCGGAAATACTTTAACCGGAAACTGTAACAACTCGAACCGGTAAAAGGGGGGGGTAAAAGAAAACTTTTTATTTTCTTTTCCTTTCATTTCCTTTTCGCAATTATAATCATTCGAAAACGTAGAAAATTTGATTTTTTTTTTGAACCTTTTCGAAAAATAATCGATTGATTTCCGTTTCCTTTTTTCGAATTCGAACAAGAAAAAATAATCAATCGATAAAAAACAAAAAGAAAATTTTCAATAGTAAAGTTAGAAAAGGGTAAAAGCTATAATAAAATTTCATTTACAATAATAAAAAAAAAATCTCGAACAGGAACTGGGTCCTTATACGGGGGGGGAAGGGGGAGACCCGGTTTCCCCAACCTACTCACACTCAACGACCTTCATTTTCCAATTATAAATAAAATTTTTTTTTAAAAAAAAACAATAATAATAATGATGATAATAAATAACTCACGAATTTCGCGAGAAAATTTTCCGTTTTGTAAGAAAAGGACGTGAAAACGAAAAAAATTTTTTTTCGGGGAGGAGAGGGGAGGGGGGAATCCATTGCGCAAAACCGAAACGCCGTAAATTTCATTCACGCTTTTTTTTTCACAAAAAAAAAAAAAAAAAGGAAAACAAATATAAGAGTTCCGGGTTACAATTTCCGGTTTGGAAAAAATGAATGAATGATGATGAATTTGATTTCTTCAGTTTTGTTGGAAAAACGGAAACGGAAACGGATTCGCCCTAATAAAAATTTCCCAACACACAATAAAAAATTGAACAGGAAAATTTTTCACAATCGATTATTTTTAAAAAAATTCAAAAAATAAATTTATTATTATTAATAATAATAATAATAATAATAACTCGTTTCGTCATCATGAGAAAAAAAAAACGGACTTTTCATCATCATCATCATCATCAGCATTTTCGTCACACTCTATTATTATTATTATTATAGTCAAGGTTAATTTTTTTTCTCTCTCTCTCTTTCTCTTACTTTTTTTTATTTTTGAACGAAATTTTTCTTCTAGGAAAATTTCTTTTCATTTTATTTTCCGAACGACTAAAAATCATCATCATCATCATCATAAAGATGAAAAATGAACTGACGCCTTTTCCTTCTTTTCCCGAGGGCAAACAGAAAGAGAGAGAGAGAGAGAGAGAGAGAGAGAGAGAGGATAAAAAAGGTTAAGTTATTAATTTTCCTTTTATGAACCCTTTTAAATTGACAACCGGAAATGAGATCATCATCATCGCCCCGCCGTGAAAAACTTTTTCATTCGAGTTTTTATGAACCGAAAAAAAAAAAAAAAAAAAATTTCCCGGGAAAAACGTGTAAAAAAAAAAAAAAAGAAAAACGTTTACGCGAAAGACGAGCGTGTAAAAATATATATATATATTATTTTTTTAAACGGGGGGGAGGGGAAGGGGGAAAAAAGGTAACTCACGAGATATTAAAAAAAAAATTGGAACGGAAAAGAGGTTAGAGAGAGAGAGAGAAAGAAAATGGGAAAACTGAGAGAGAGATAGAAAATCCAAATGTAAGAAAAGGAAATGAAAAAAAAAAAAAAAAAAAAAAAACATGACATTAACTAAAAATCCTTTTTTCCTTCTCCTCACTCCCCTCCTCCCCTTCCCCTACGCTTTCCTTCCTTCCTCTTCTCTCTCTCTCTCTCTCTGTTTGTGTAAGTTTCCTTCCTTCTCTCATCCTCTCTCTCTCTCTGTGTTTTCTTCTCTCTGCCTCTCTCGCTCTCTCTTTCTCTTCCTTTAACTCCTTACTCCGTTCGTTTTCTCTTCCTTCTCCTTCTCTTTCTCTCTTTTTTTCCCATAGTGCTTTTCTACCAAATTGCTTTTTTAGAAATTTTCAAGTTTTGTGGGTCAAATTGAGTTTGAAAAACCAATAAACCATTTATGAGTCTACTGGCTCAAAGCCAATCCGACACAACTTTCATTCATGTTCTTGACTTTCATTCATAACTTTTTTCATTTCTTTCTTACTTACTTACTTACTTAAACATTTAATTAAATTTTTCTCTCTCTCTCTCTCTCTCTTTCTCTTTCCCCTTCCTTTTTTTCTCGTACGTACATTAACATTTAATTAATAAATAAAAAAAAAAGAAAAGAGAAAAGTTTAATGGGAATATTATTATTATTTTTTTGTTGCGCACGCCCACACTCACACATTTTACCTTTAACCTTTTTCTTTTTGTTTTTCACGTTTGATAAAAGGTTACAGATACAGCAAGGAAAAGCCGCCACCTACAATTTTCCTCCTTGTTATTATTATTATTATCATTATTATTATTCATATTTCGTGAAAAAATTTTCAGGTGCGTAAAATCCCAGGAAAAATTACAAAAAATTTTCATTTCGTTTCGTTTCTTTTTTGTTTTTTCCCTGTGACGTAATATCCTCGTCATCATTGATTTCGAAACGATGATGATGATGATGATGATGATGATGACGACGATGATAATAATAATAATAATTATTTTCATTCCGTTCTCACGTTTTTTTTTTTTTTTTTTTTTTGCATTGTTTTCATCACAGAAGCAGACAAAAAAATTTATTTATTTATTTTTTTTCCATCCATCCATTCATTCATTCATTCATTTATTCATTCCGCGAAAACATTTTAGGGAATTATTAACGTAAATTTCACTTTGATAATTAATTAATTTTTCAAAATAATAATAATAATAATAATAATAATAATAATAATAATAATAATAATAATAATAATAATAATAATAATAATAATAATAGATTTACTTCGGCCATTTTGCTTTCTCCTCGTCTTCCTTTCCTTTTACGTCGGATATTGTGTTAGCGATTACTTTTAATTTTTCTCCCATAATTTTCCTTCCCCTTCCGAGAGGTCCCCTCCCCTCTCCCTCCCCCTCTTCCCACACATTTTTAAACATTAAGCAAACTCGTCGTTTTTTTTTACAAAACATCGCATACAATGTTTTCGTAATAAATAAATAAATAAAAAAAAAAAAATTTTTTTCTTAATGGCGTGGCATTGAGTAATTTTTCAGGTTGGCCAATCATACACATAACCGGCATATTCACTTTTCTTATCATCATTATCATCATTCACTTGCTTTAAATTAATATTTATCTATATTATTATACCTCTCTCTCTCTCTCTCTCTCTCTCTCTCTCTCTCTCTTCCGCCATTTTTCACACGCTTTTTTATTAACGTGTCATAACATCGTTTACTGCCACGAATCGTTAAGTGTAAACATTTTCCTTACGAAAAATCGACCAACGTGTAAATCACGTCGTGGCACAAGAAAATTTTTTCCATCTTTCGATACGAAAAACGATATTTAAACAAAATCGAAATTCGGGATCACGTAAACGAAACAAAACAAAAAAAAAAAAAAGCCGAAAAATAAAAAAAAAAAAAAAAAAAAAACGTTTTGCTTTTCGATTTTCTTTTCCGGATCAATAAATATCATCCGCGGCTAAATCCGTGAAAAAAAAAAAAAAAAAAAAAATTTTCACGACTTCGTGCCACGATTTTTTTTTTTTTGATTAAGCGGTTATAATAAAAAGAACAACAACAACAACAACGACAACCAGCAATAAATCTAATTTAAAAAATTTTTCATTAATTTTTTTGTAAATAAACAAATTTTCATTCATTCATTCTCAAAAAATTTTTTGGAAAATGAAAATTCGATTTTCTTTTTTTTCTTTTTTTTTGCAAATTAAAAAACGTTCACGCAAAGGAAAAAATGAAAATGAAAAAAGGAGAAGGAAGAGAAAAGAGAATGGTGCAAAAAACAGAAAAAATAATAAAATGGAAACGAGTGTGAACTTTGACATTTTCGTTTGTTCGTTTGTTCGTTACAAAAAAAAAATCCCTCTCGTAAGGTCATTATCGATTGAAAAAAAAACGTTTTTTTAAATTTTATTTTTATATAATCGGCTCGAAAGACATTATTCGAGTATCTATTTCTCCCCCTTTTCCCCTCCTTTCGATTATTTCAAGTGCATCATCAAACGACGAAATGGGGGGAGGGGGAAAGGGGATGGAAAAGGGGGATGAAAAAAATCAATGCAAATAAAATTTCATCCGGGTACAGAGCAACGCGAAAGAAAAAAAAAAAAAAAGAAAACGGAAAACTCTTTTCATTTCATTTTTTTTCTTCGACTCCCCACCCCTCCCCTCCCCTCTCCCACTCCTCTCTTCACCCTAATATATATAAACACGATAATTATTATTATTTTTAATGAAAAAATTACGAATGTGCGTGCGTGCGTG